GCAGCGCCGCCGCGCACCTGAGCAGTACTGTTGCCTATCCCGCACTTCGCAGGCGTTTTTGTTTTGTTTTGTTTCCTGCACTGGAATGAGCTTTGCCGAAAATTATTCATATTTCCCGCCTTGTTTTCCCGCCTTATTTCCTCGCCTGATTTTCCCGCCTTATTTACCCGCCTTAATTCCCGCCGTGTTTTCCCGCCTTATTTTCCCGCGTAAACCCGCCGCCGCCCATCGGGCAGAGGGACGCGTCGGATTGGCGGACGCCCTTCTCGATGCCGCGGGCGAAAGCGGCGAGCGGCGGCCGAACAAAGGGAGAAAAAAAATTGTGGACAAAAACAAAGCGAGATAAAATAGTGGCCGCGGGGGTTTTGACCCGGCGGCTCATAACGGGCCGGATCGGTTCGGCAGCGCTGTTTGATTGGCTGGGCCGGCCGGGCAGGGCCCTTGTCTGCGGGCCGAGCCATCGGCAGCCAACAGGCGGATCTGGATCTGGATCGAGGACACTCAGAAAAACTAAAGGAAACCCGGCGGAGCGTTATTGTTAGGTTAGGTTCACTTCTTGTTCTGGCGAAGTATCGCAGGTGTAGCAAGTGATTCAGAGAGCATTGGAATTTAGGACAAAATGAGTTCACACTGTAAACTCCTTGGTGAAACACCTAAAACGAAACAGCAGTTCCCTGTTTTGGCGGTGGCGTTTCCTTCCCCAGCGTTTAAACGCGGCTCGTCTTGTCCTCTCCGGGTTTTGGCGGGACGGACTCGGCCGCCGCCACCGCCCTCTTGCACAAGTGGCGCGCCTCCTTTCTGACACACTGCCCTCCATGTAATGTGTTCCGCAGAATGTGGACGCGGGCGGAGCGCAGCCACAAGGCGGTGCGCGCGGCGGCAGTAAATTCGGCCGCGGCAGCGGGAGTCGAACCCGCGCCACTCGGAAGTTAGTGCACATTATTGCGTCGTATTCTTTTCTTTTAAATTTTGCGTGACTGTTCAATAGTTAAAAAATCTGATTGTTTTTGTTTTAAGTGTTCAAAAAATACCGCATTTCTTTCAAAGTTTTTAATTATCTGTTTCCCCCTCCTTTTCCTTTTTTTTTCTCCGACTCTTCCTCCAGATTTTCACCCCTTCGTATTCGCACTCCCCCTCCCCTCTCCCCGCGGTGGCCGACGTGACCCGCATCTCGTCCTCCCGCCGTCCTTGACGGCACTCGCTGTAGTTACAGATCATCGTCCACCTGAATAACCGGGATAAAGAAGGAACCTTCTCGGCTCCCCATCCCCCTCCCCCCTCCCCCCGGTCCCTTCCGCGCAGCGTTACATAAAGGGCCCACTCGGCCACTCCGGCACAGGTGCAGCGTGCAGCAGTACGTCGTAGGGGGCCCGCGGCCCGGTCCCGCCGTGGTCCCGCCGTGGTCCCGCCGTGGGCGTGGCGGCGTGGCGGCGGAGCAGCGAGGCAGCGAGGTAGATGGCGCCGGACGGATAGTGCACGCCGAGCGAGGCGCCAACAGCCCGCTTTGCTTTTCTTTACCCCTCCCCCTCCCCCTCCCCCGAATCGCCGCCCTCACGACGGACATGACCACCTCCCTCACCTTTGGGTCCGGTCTCGCCCCGACCGACCCGTCGCCTGCACTGCAGCACTGATATTCCGCGCGGGAGGTCTCTCTCTCTCTCTCACTTGCACTTGCGTGGCGTCCCGCACGGGTGCGAGAGAGAGACGGCGCGGCGCGCGGCCAGTCAAGTGTGGTGGAACGCCTCAAAGGTCAGGGAGTCCCCCGGCACGGCCGGCACGGCCTGCACGGCCTGCACGCCGCGTGCAGCGCGGACCAAGACTTCCGCGTGGGAGGGCCGCCCGGGCCGCGCGGCAAAACAAAGCAACAACTGGACCAACTGGACCCGAACCCACGGGACGGGGTCAAAGACAACTGGTCCGAAACTACTGGACCAGATGTTTCCTTCTGTCCTGAACACGGCTTTGCTTTGCCGGGCCTGAAGGAGGCGTTGGTGAACACCGAGAGGCACTCCAAGAAGGGCAGTGCGTGCGGAGGGTGGACCTCCGTCTCTGTCTCTCTCGCCTTATCGCCAGGCTTCGTCAAGCGGTGGTGGCTGCGGCGTCCGAGGCGAACCTAACCCTCTGCCAAGGCTCTACGTTTGCCATCGGTTTTCCGAAGGGGTCTACGTTTTCCAGCCCGCCGCCACCAATTTTCGTGCTGTCTCACTAAAACGCATTGTAAGCACAATCCACGCTGACACACTAGTAGCTACACTGCAGGCGTGCGCCCGTATTTTATCCCTCCAAGTAAGTATGCAAAACAAATTGAAAACGGATCGTTTTGGCGCGTGTAGCAGGTTCGAAGAGTTTCGCGGCGGCGGCCTCGGTGTTGGCTGGTGGCGGTCCCCTCGTAAACTTGGCGCGGAATGCGTGGAGAGTGCCGAGAGCGCGGTCGGCGGGCACCGCAAAGTGCCGAGCGACGGGCACGGTCCGGACAGTAGTAGTGCTTTCGTCGCTCCGTCTCCGGCGCCCTCATCCGGCGCCCCGCGCGGGTGGGAGAGAGACAGAGCGACGAGGCACTGTTCGGGGACCTGCCTGCCGCCGCTTGGTAGGAAGTGGTGTGGTGTTGTGGGTGTCCCGGGCAGTCGCCTCCACCGCGCTCGCCACCGGACTCCAGTCGCAGGTAGGATTGTGTGTCACCGTAGCCGCGAGCGCACGGACGTCGATTATCTGAGCGAGGGGACCGGGTTCAAATCCACTGACGTAATTTTTTTTGCTGTGCCTGTTGCTTTTAGAATTTACAGAAGTCTTCTCCAAACAAGTCGCAACGTCCGAAAAACATCAGTGAACTTGATCGTCCTTCTCTTCCTCCAGTGCCTGAATAAACTATGCAGTGTACCGTACATTGTTTGTAGAGCGGTGTGGATGGCTTGTCCGCCACAAGCGGACGAGTGCTCCGGGCGTCAAGTGTGCCGACGACTTATTCCCTGCCTCTGGATGACTGGCGCTTCCCCGTGCCGCGGCGTGGCGTGGCGTGGCGTGGCGTGGCGCGGCGTAGCACCCCATTGTCCGTCGCCACAATGTCCCCCCCCCCTTCCCCCGGGGGTCATCGAGTAGCGTGGCTCGCGCCATTCACGGCGCGACGCCGAGTTTGAACAGCGTGATCGGTGGGCGTCATCCCGCGGCAACAGGTGCACTGTAAACCAAAGGGCGAAAGTAGTAGCCAAACAGTGATGGCCCGGACGGGGATCGAACCCGCGGCCGCACACCCAGCCCGCGAGACGGAACCCGACCTTGAGGATGAACAAGGAAGGAAGGCCTTTTCGTGGCCGAGCGGACCGCCACCGCGGCCAAAAGCACATTAGGATTGTTAGGTAACGGAATAATGGGGCTAGTGGGGCGACGGGGCGGGGCGGGGCGGGGCAGTGAACCCTGACGGTACTTCCAAGGACGCGGCACGCGCCGCCTCCAGCGGGGGGAGTGAACTTACACTGTGAGGCCCCCTGGGCCCCCTGGGCCCTCTGGGCCCCCTCCCCCGCCACGGTCATACTCCAGCAAGGACGGCAAGCACTCCTTCAAGGATGGCTTTACTTTACTGCGTCCCGCCAGGCGCCCCGCCCCGCCCCCCCCGCCCCGCCCCCCCCGCCCCGCCCCGCCCCGCCCCGCCACGCCAAGGACGCGGTCACAGGTGCAGCGTGCAGCGGCGTCGACAAATTGTGACTCGACAGGAGAACGTGCTTCTAGTAACCGGTCTTTCGCACGGTTTGGCTTATTTGCTTGCAGGGTCCTGGACGGACGCTTTAAAATTCGAATTTCCTGTCATATTTTTCCTCTTTTTGACTCTTTTTATGTCACACTTATAAGTCGTGTGCTCTGATTATTCTGTTTATTTTTACAGTGAAGATGGTTTCCGAACCTGTAGTATCTCAATTGCGTAAATTTCCGCGAAAAATGATAAAAACAGTGTTGGCTGTGTGTGTGTGTGTGTGTGTGTGTGTGTGTGTGTGTACATGCGTCTTTTCATCTGTGCGTCCGACTGTGCGTCCTATTTGCCCTTTCCCTCTTGTCATTTTTCACAACTTCCCCCCGAGAGGAAGTGTCGACGCGTTGCAGATGACGTGCCGCGCCAGCAGCGCCAGCAGCGCCAGCAAGCCCATTCGCTCTGTCTCCCTCGCACTCGCGGGGCGCCGCGGCCGTGCGAGAGAGACAGAGCGACGCCGGACCGGGGCGGCCAGACCGGGGCGCCGCGCCGCAGCCGAAAGGTCCAAGAGGTCAGCGTATGTAACACGTACGGCACTTAGCCGGTCCAGTTCGCAGTGCACCTTCCACTCATTTGCCTCCCCTCCCTCCCCTCTCACTCCCCCCCTCCCCTCCCCTCCTGCTCAATGCGTTCCGCCGCACGAGCCATCGGCCCTCCCCGGCGTTCAAGTCTCCAGAGCGCACGGAGAGCAGCGCGGCCGGCAAAGAGGCGTGTGCGATAGGTGGAGTGTGCACTTAGACGAAACCCTGGATCCGAATTGTGTCAGTGTCTGGTGCAGGTGCGTCTGTCTGCTCTGTTGGCCTCGCACTGCCACTGTGATCAGCTCCCAATCCAGCGTGCCTACGTGATGCCTGTGTGGGCCAAAGGATGGCCACAGGATGGCGACCGGTGCACTGTCGGCCACGTGTGGGTCTCGTGATGACTCTTCGGCCACCCTCCGTGTCACCAGAGTCACCAGCCAGTGGGCCATCCCCCGAGCGTCCTGCCCCTGTCCTTGCCACCCCGACGGCCGGACAGGGAAAGTGCTCGTGCGGCGAGAGAGAGAGAGAGAGAGAGAGAGAGAGAGAGAGAGAGAGAGGGGGGGGGGGGGAGGGAGGGAGGGAGAGGGAGGGGAGGCGTGGCGATCCTGCGATCCGCTCCCCGCCGGCCGGTCTCGCGGCGGGGCGGGGCGGGGGGGGCGGGGCGGGGTGGGGCGGGGCGCGGCGCGGCGGGGGAGGGGCGTCCCGGGGTGGCGTGCCTTTATAAGAGCGGCGCGCGGCCGGCGCAGCGTGCAGAGGCGAGAAGTCAGACTCCAGCCCCAGTCCGTCCAGCGAGGAGCGCGGGAGAGCCATGAGGACCTGCAGGAGCCTTGTGGTTAGTAGAGTGCTAGTGCAACAGTGCGACCCGTGGACCCCCAGTGCAGTGCAGTGGACTATACACACGCCAGGACCGCCACCCGGTGCCGTGGATTAACCTGTGGCGTGGCCGAGCGTGTGTGTGTGTGCGTGTGAGTGTGTGAGTGTGTGCGTTCGGGGTCTCGAACCCTTCTTCGTCGTGTTCGATTCGCGCGTCGCATTTCTGGATAAACTCGCCTCGCCGTGCTTCACTCTCAACATATTTTACGATCAAATTTTTGTAGTGTCATGCATTTTTGTCATTCTTTCTATAAATAAAAGGGTAAAAAGGGTAAAACCCTCGCCAAAATTGTGTTTGACCAAAAAAAAAATTATATTTTCTAAACATTTTTATTTTATTCGACAACTTAAAAAATTGTCATTATGGAAATATTGATTCATGATAAACCTTCACCCTTATCAAAAAATCAAATTTCTTTCAAAAGTTACAAAGCGTCATCTTCTTCAAAGGATTTTTATTGTTTCGAATTTTCCCGCCATAACTCGGCTCGAGACAGCCAATTCGGCGGGGGCCCATGCGGGCCTTGAGCAAGCGCAGCCAGTGAAATTGAGAGTGCAGCCCGCCGGGTCACGATCCGGAAACGATCCAAACGGCGCGTTGCGCTGCGTCCCGATCCAGATGGGATCACTTTAGCCAACTTAGCGCATCCCGGTTTCATCACCGGGAGCGCCGAGCCGCCCGCGCTCGACTTTGCAAAATCCCTTTCGGGCCGTCGGCTTCGCCTCGGCTTCGCCCTAAGCCCCCCGGCGGTGACGGCCCGGCGGTCCGCTGGCTCCTCCAAGCTTCCGTCGCTCCGTCTCTCTCGCACCCCTACGAGTCCGTCCGCGCCGTGTTCCTGGCCGTCGCACAGTGGGCCAGAAGACCAGTGGAGGAGGCCAAAACTCCAGACGCGCTTCGAGCTCCAGAGTCGCTAAGCAGGACTCGAACCGAACGTGTGACCCCACCAATGGATTGCTCTCCGTACGAGGAATCCATTGGTGGGGTCACACGTTCGATTCGAGTCCTATTTAGCGACTCTGGAGCTCAAAGCGCGTCTAGAGTTTTGGCCGCCTCCACCGGTCTTCTGGCCCACTGTGCGTCGGTACAAAAAGCCCGCGGTGGCTCGGTGTCCGTCCGCCGGCGTGCGACAGAGACGGACGGTGTTTCCTTTTCTTTCGCCGTCCGGAAGACGACCTCCTCGGAACAGTGTGGTGGCGGTGGCGCTGGCGGGCGTATATCATTTTGCAACGGCGCCGCGACTGCTCTGCCTCGGTTTTGCAAGCGCGGCGGCCACTGCGTGCTGGCCGGCCGGCCTGCCTGTCCGCCTGACTGATTCCCCGTGCTCTGTCTGCCGGCTGTTAGCGTTTACGGCGACCCGCCGCGCCGCGCGGGGAAAAGCGCCTCCGTCTCTCTCGCACCCACGCGGCGCCGCGCAGGCCCGTCGGGGCCCGTAGGGGTGCGAGAGAGACGGCGGGCACAGTGGCGTAATTGTGGTGGAGCTCATTGGCGCTTTCCTTCTTTTCCGCGGCGAGGCGTCCAGCCGCACAGAACCGCGTACGTCCCGCGGGCCGACGCTCTGTCTCTCTCGCACCCTTGCGGACCGCCCCGCGAGTGCGAGAGAGACAGAGCGAGGGGCTGGCGGATACGCGCTTGTCGGCGAGTGCGGCAGTGGGAACGACCGCCGTGGGAGCGTCGCGTAGCGTCGCGCTGTCTCTCTCGCGCCCCGGCGGGGCATCGCGCGAGTGCGAGAGAGACGGCGTGTGGAGATGCCGCGGCGATTTGCGAGCCGTTTGGCTGTTAAAGCGCGAGCGGGGCTGGGCGCGTCGCGGCGCCTAGTCCGTGGCAGTCCCACGGCGTCATGATGGAGCTGCTTCATTCTAATTCGAGGCTGCATCCTGCATCGTTTGACTCGGAGCGCCGGGCAGGCCGAGCAGGGCGTCGAGCACTTGCAGTGCCGCCGCTCTCTCCGTGCCGCTGGCTGCGCCGGGCGCCGCGGGACAGGGCGACGGGGGTCACGGGGTCGCGGTGGGCCGTCCGGCCGGGCCTGCCGCGGCACTGCTGGGACAGGAAGACGCGGGGCCAAAGAGCACGCCTAGCCTCGCGCCCAGCCTCGCGCCCAGCCTCGCGCCCCGCCTGATGGGCATCTCATTTCCGCGCAGGATGCCTGCCGCGAGGCTAGCTCCGCGAGGCTAGCTCCACGTCCGCGATCAGGCGATCGGGATTGCAGGACATGCAACCGACACTACTTTCATCTTGCGCGCACACCGCAATGTCGCGCCGCGTGTGTGACACGTCGCGTACGTGCGGGTACGCCGCCAGCCCCTCCCCCCAGCGCCCCCAGCGCTCGCTCTGTCTCTGTCGCACCCCGAAGGGGGACAGGGCGACTCGTCCTGCAGGCTCGTGCCTTCGTCGCTCGGTCCCTCTCGCACCACTACGGGATGGGACTTCCCGTGAGTGCAACCCAAATTGTCCGCAAGGCAGGTTTGAATGTGGCTCTGGCTCGGTGCGTAAATCACCGGCTAAAAGCCGTGTCCAGTGTAGGGCCCCTCCTCCGGCCGGGGATGACAGGGAAGCAAAGCCAGTGCAAGTGCAGCCAGCGAAGCAAGCGAAGCAAGCGAAGCCAGCCGGGTTCCACGCGATTTCACTCCAAGCCGTGCGACAGCCCGTCGGGCCGCGGTGCGCCGCGCACCGCCACGGCACGCGCACGCGCACGCGGCCAACACGCAACGATGCTGTGTGTGTGTGTGTGTGTGTGTGTGTGTGTGTGTGTGCGTGCGTGCGTGCGGCCGGGCGTGCAGTGTTGCCGGTCGACCCGGCCATGCTGATGAGCAAGCCCACCTTCTTCTTCCCCTTGGCTCCGCACCGCTCCGCATCCTGCTCCATCCGCATCGCACCGACTCGCATCGCACTTCTCGCCTCCTTCATTTTCGTCACGAACTTTTGTAGCCAGTCACTCTGCTTCTCGTTCTGCCGTGCTCGTGTCGCTTTCGTTCGATTTAACTTGAGCATGGCGGCGTGTATCCATTCTTCAGCTGCCTCCTCTTTCGCCTAAAGACAAAAAAACAACAACGAGTTTTGCTTGATTTTTGCTTGATATTTTTTTCTGTCCGTTCTTCACTTTTTATAATATTTCGTTCTCGCTCTCTTTTATTCTCTCTCTATCCATCCCTTTCCTCTCCGTTTGCTTCGCTTCCTGCACTGTAATTGATTGCGTCTTGAGCTCATGTCGGCTTGCTAATTGCGCGTCGCGACACGGCCAATCAGACACGCCGGCCGCTTCGCACCCCCCTCCCCCCCCCCTCTTTCAACCTACCGCCGCGGTGGCACGTTTGGTTGGCGTCCGGATTGATTTATGGTCCCTCGAATTGGCGGTGTGTCGTCGCGTGAGGTGCGATAGACTCTTCGCGCGCGCGGCGGACACACCGCCTGACACTCCTCCCCCCCCCTCCTTTCTTTTTCCATCCGCAATTTACGCCTGTCAGCCACCGCAAACTCAGCCGTGCTTTATTTCCGCTTTGTTTCGTTTATTTATTTGCCATTTTTTGTCGCACTTGGGCACGAGCCGCGTGCCGTGCGGAGGGACGGCCTAGGGACGGCAGCCTCTGAACCCGGGATGCACTTCCTTGATGCGATACACGTGGTGTCCTGCAGCCTTATGTAAGCCACCCGCACGGGGGGAAAAGGGGGGGGGGGTCTGCCCGCACATTAGCTAAAAGGAACCGCCCCTTTTTTCGCCCGCCTTGCGTTAGACTGGACCATGACCGCACACGGTGCGCTTGCACAAGAACAACGAAAAAATAAACAAAAACACGTGTTTTTCTGTTGTTGATGTTGTGGTTGGGTCCACCACTTGGTTTAAATTCAAAGTTTGATCAAAAACATTTATCGAGTTAGATTTGGCTGAAATTCAACGCCACGATTCATTGTCGGTTTCTCCCTTTCGTTACGTCCGCCGCCGCTGCATTCCAATTTGCATCTGTTTTTAAAACGATGTTGAAAAACCAGTGCACCTGCGCCTCGTCGGCGAGCAGACTCATTCCGAGAGTCGTTTTCGCGTCGCTCTGTCTCGCTCGCACTCATGGGGCGTCCCGTAGAGGTGCGAGAGAGACAGAGAGGAAGAGAGAAGCAGCCTGCAGGGAAATGAGAGTGCGCTTTCATTGAAGCGAGCGCCACAATGCGTTCTCACGAGACTGATGCTCGCATGGAGGCGCACGCCGCGCACGCCGCGCATCCCAGCGGCGGGAAAATTTGAATTTGCGCGCCGACGAGCGCAGTGCAGGGCAATCAAACGTTTCATTGTGGGATGGAAAATTTTTTCATGTAAACCTCTGGGGATATAACAATGTCATAGGGTAACTAAAAATTCAAATTTCAACGTTGAATTTAAGTTATTTTGTCCATTGTTTTTCATCTCTAGACGTTTACGTCTGACAGTGTCGCGAAAAAACTGCTATACCTGCCTTCTAGTCAGATGAAGCTCTCCGTAATCAATTCTAAAACGTCATTTTTTTAAAATTATTTTTCTTTGTCGCTCTGTTTTTTCTCGCCCCTGCGGGACGGCCCACGAGTGGCGCGGTGCTGCGCGGTGCGACAGAGACAGAGAGACAGAGAGACGGTCCGCGGGGAGCCCTCTGCGCGGAAGCACACGCGAGACGCACCGGGACGGTGCACCGAACCGGTCCGCGATTCCTCAATCGATTCTCTCGGCTCGAAAAGGCAGCGGCGTCTGTCTGTCTGTCTGTCCGTCCGTCCGCTTGTCGCTCGCCGCGCCAAAGATGGACGCCCCAGGCAGTGGGGCACCGTCCTGCACCGTCCCGCGCGGAGAACGAGGAAGGCGGCAACAAAATCGCGAGAAATTGTGTTTGTATCGTTGGTTACTTCGTTACCACGCGCGCGGGCTGCCGGCTGGCGCTGCCGGCCACTGGAGTGGGTCAGTAGGAAGCAGCGGTCAGGTGTCTCCCCCACCCCACCGCCTTCTCCGGGCGCCGGTGTGTGTGTGTGAGTGTGTGTGTCCGCTCAGGCGCGACGCCAGCCAGTGCGGTAAGAGTGTAGGTGGCTGTACGGGCAGCGAGCGTGCGTCCATGGACTCGTCTGCCTCGGCGGGGAAAGGGATTACCTGGATTGTCGTCACTTCATCGTCCGGCTGACTCGAGATATCGAACTCGTTCCTCTCGCGCCGAGGTGGAAGCGCGGGAAAAAGTGCCTTGATCTGACATTGTGCAGGCTGTGCAGTCAATGCAGTGCAGGAAGAACTCACGGGAAAATGATAATTGACCAGCAATACAGCCTTGATTCAATTGTGGGTCAAAAGCACTCTTTCTGGTCCACTCTTTTAATTTTGGGAGTGTTCTTCATCCGGTGACCCGGCTGTCCGGAGAAGACGCCTCAGTGTCCGCTCCATTCTCACTTTCCACCGGCCAAGCACACCACGCTGGCGCCACCGGGCGCCTCCGTCGGTTACGCCGTTGTTGTGGTTACGCGTGTTGCCGCTGCCGTTGTGCGGAGGCGCGCGCCTCAGCGTGTGTGTGAGTGAGTGTGTGTGTTGTCCGATACCACCAATGAAATTCCCACACCCGCCAACCGGTTCCAGCGAGTCAGCCGGCGGCGCGGGCGCGGCGGCGGTCTGGTTCGGTCAAAGCAATCCTTCCCTTCTTTCGTGTAGCGCCACTCGCAGTGAGCTGCCGTTGCTGCTGTTGTGCCGATACGTAATTTCCCGAACCGGTCGTTGCTGCCCGCCGCGCTGCCCGCCGGTATCGGTATACATTTCCGCGTCACCGCGGCAGGTGCGCTATGGGATGTAGAAAGCAGTGGGGCGGCGAGGCGGAGCGGAACCGCCATGGCGCGCCAGGGGGAGGGATTTCAAATTCGCGCGCGTTCGTATCGCTCCGTCTCTCTCGCACACTCACGGCGCGCCCCGCGAGTGCGAGTGAGACAGAGCGACGCCGCGCGCTAAGTGGACTCGACCCCCGCGCGGAAAGGACCCTAACTGCGCGGCATTCCCGCCGCAGTTGGCGTCCTCTTCTCTTCCGGGGACAGACCTGTCGAGGTGGTCGTGCGTGTCGGACTGCACGGACCGTCGGGGCGCGCGGTGAACCTAAGTGGTCGCCTACACTGCGCACTTGTAACACGCTCGCACTATTTGCCGCGCTGACGTGGCGCCTGAAAGGAAAGTAGTGTCTCTGGGTCGGCGGCATGACTTCCCTCGTGATTTGCGCCGATTTGACGCCGGCTACACCGTAAAGAACTTCTCTTTCGGCTGCGCTGCGAACGCCGTGGGGTTCCACGATGTGCTGTCCCGCCGAGCAGGCGTGCGTCCGGGACGGCCTACCCGCCAGGCGCCATGCCGAGGAGCCTTCCGTCGCTCTGTCTCTGTCGCACTCGCAGGGCGTCCCGTAAGGGTGCGAGAGAGACAGAGCGACTCTTCGTGCTGACGGCGCCCGGTGCCGCTGCCACCATCTCCGAGTCTATCTCCGCCTCAAAATCGGCCTTGTTTTTCCTCATTTTCCCGCCAAAGCCGTCGGCGCTCGCGGTGCAGTGGCGCGATAAAAATTGGGTCGCCATTGTAGGAGTTGCGCAGGGCCTGCAGGGCCAGCAGCAGGTCAGGCGGCTGAGCCGACGCCTCGCGCCGCGTGCTCGCGCTTCCGTGGGAAAATCCGGACAAGGTGACAAAATTGTTCCCGACCTAGGACAACAACTGTGGCAACGACGCCGACGGCACGCCGACGGGAAGCCGGCGCCGCGCTGCCGTGCCGCAAGCCACGCCGGCGGCACAATGGTAGGCGCACTGCTCGGAGCACGTGTCGCAAAGTGTGTTTTGTGTTCAACTGCAGCAAACGCCGGACAGCGTTGCCCCAATGCCTTTTAACGGTGTCGGACCTCGTCGTTGTTGTTGTTGTTGTCCGTGGCGAAAGTCTCGGATGGACAAGCGGCAATAATAATTCCGGGTGCACGCCGCGACGCCGCGCGGTCGTCGCTGACACGGCGCCGCCGCCGAAAATTCCAGCCCACGCTTCTGTCTGGCGGTGCGGCGGTGCGGCCCGTCAGCCCGGCATGGGCGGACGCGGCGCCGGAACGACGGAAAAAGGAATCCCTGCGTCACGAACTGATCTGCTCGGTGGCCGACGGCTACGTTCCATCGACTGCTCGTGACGGCGTGTGTCTGTGTGTGAGTGTATTTGGCTTGTGTGTGTGTATGTGGCGTGTGGCTGATCGGGTACCCGCGTGCGCACTCCTTGAAGTAGCAGCGCGAGGGGCTCACACACACGCACCGTGGCGCACGCACCGACGCACACAGACACCGAGGGGCAGAGTCATGTCACGCTGGAGTAGCACCGCCGTCGCGGTGCGTTGTGGCGTCGTGTGCTGTTTGCACACACACAGACACACACACACACACGCGCGCGCACGCTCGGTGGACGCGAGCTGCCTACCCATTGAGGGTCCCGCCTGTCCTGGTGCGGCCGTGTGGCCCAGCGCCGTCCCGATGGTGGCGGTGGGCAAGGAGGTGGCCCCAGTTGGTATCATTGCGCCAGACACGCCCCCCCCCCCCTGCCGGACGAGACGTGAGCTCTCAGGAAGTACGGCCGCCCCGCGCGCCCGCTTGCTGCGGCTGGGAAACTTATGGGAACCTCCTTACACGAGGCTCCCATAGTGTAACCTGCCCTCCGGGGCCTCCAGGGCGTCCAGAGCGTCCGCGGCCTGCACGGCCAGCACGTGGTGCAACAAGACAAACACGTCATTATCACGAGCGGAAGCGGCAAGGGTTGGTGCGCCGCCCACGCCGTGGCCGCCACGGCGCGCCAACGCCGGGCCGGACTGTTTACCTTGTTGGCCGCGGCTCGCCGTGTTCCCAGTGGGCAGCCCAGCAGCCCGAACCCTCTAGCGGCCCTCGGCGCGCTGTCGCTCTGGCGGCCCTGCCGTGAGTGCGGGCGAGACAGAGCGACGGCCCGGGGCTCCCGGCTGGTTGCCTTCCAGACCCAGGCCGTCGCGGTCTCGACGGCGTGGAGTACGCGCGCGGCTTTGACGACGACGCGTTCAGTATTCTTCTCTTACCGATGTCGCTGCTCTCCGTGCGGCCGTTTGTACTTACGTGGCAGAGCGCCAGCGCACTGTCACCGCGCGGCACTGTCTGTCTCTCTCGCACCTGTACGGGACGCCCCGCGAGTGCGAGAGAGACAGAGCGACGTCGGCCCGCGGCGCCGCGATGGCCCCGCGGATGAGACTCGTTCGTTAGGCACGGCCGTGAGTGCGAGAGAGACAGAGCGATGGTCCGCGCCGGCCGGCCCCTGAGTGCGAGAGAGACGGAGCGAGCATGCCTGCATCGGACTTTCTCCTTGCCCGGCCGTGATTAAAGCCTTGTTTGTTCCCTGTACAGGTAAGCGTCGCGACGCGGAGACGCGGACGGGACGGACAGACGACAACGAAGCGACGACGCCACGGACCGACAAGCCTGGCTGTGCCTGGCTGTGCCTGGCCGGGCCGACGAACGACGCGGACCGCGACACCGCGACGCAAGAGTGACGAAGAGGGAGGAGAGGAGTAGAGGGTAACAGGGGTAGCGAGAGAGAAAGAGAGAGAGACGACGCAACCAGGTAACAATTTCTTCCTCGCCGAACGAGCCCCGGCCTCCCTCTTCCGAGCCTTCCGAGCCTTCTGAGCCGCACGCTGCCTGTTTTGGTTGCACTGCACTGTAGAGACTGTACACTGTAGACGCCATTGTCTGGACGCGCGAGGCGCCTGACGGAACTGTGGGAAGTGAAATCATCACTCGGATCCGATAAGGGATTGGCCACTTGTTCCCGACGGGAATTTCTTCTCTTTTTTTTCGGTGTGTCTGTGTGTGTGTGTGTTTTGTGAATAAGTGTGTGTGTTGGCAAACATGATTTTCGCGAGGGTATGAATGCGGCCTGCGCGCGTGCGTCGCCTTCCTTCGGTTCCGTACGTTCCGTACCATTCGGCCCAAGTCCCGTTTCGCGTGAATGATGCCTATCGAGTAGGGAAGGAAAGGGCCTTGTTGAGCACGGAACCGGCGTGTCTGTGTGTGTGCGTGCACGTGTGTGTGTGTCTGGGTGTGTCTGTGTGTGATTTACCGGAGGGGGTTCAAATAAGGAGTCGTAGAGAGTGAGCCTGCACTGTACTAACCTCGTTTGTTCTGCTGTTGCTTACAGGTTGCCCTCGTGGCATTACTGCAAGTTGCTCTAGTAGTGAGTAAGGCGCTGGACCCGCAAGAACAGTAAGTATCATTAAAAGACTTTTATTGTTTGATCTTTACACTTTTTTAATTTGACTTTTCTGTTTTGAAAATAAACAAATTGAGTTAACTGGGGTTGTGTTTGCTTCGCAGCTTAACACCACCCGCACCAGACGCCCCCATCTCCGGCCAGCCCGCAGAGCCCTCGGCCGCAGCGACGGGCGTGGCCGTGGCCGAGCGGCGCATCGACCCGTCCGGAGGTGGAGGCGGCTACGACGACCACCACGACCACCACGAGGAGCACCACGACGACCACCACGACCACCACGAGCACAAGGGCTACTGGAAGAAGAAGCTCATCTGGAAGCCCGACTGGGTCAAGGTCTGGAAGCCGGCCCAGAAGCAGATCTGGAAGCAGGGCTGGAAGAAGGTCTGGAAGCCCATCTGGGTGCCGACCAAGAAGGCCGCCTGGCAGGACATCCAGATCCCCAAGTGGAAGAAGATCTGGAAGCCCATCTGGGTGCCCATCAAGGTCCCCGCCTGGAAGGAAATTCAGGTGCCCGCCTGGAAGAAGATCTGGAAGCCCATCTGGGTGCCCATCAAGGTCCCTGCCTGGAAGGAAATCCAAGTGCCTGCCTGGAAGAAATACTGGAAGCCCATCTGGGTGCCCATTAAGGTTCCCGCCTGGAAAGAAATCCAAGTCCCTGACTGGAAGAAGATTTGGGTTCCTGAATTAGTCAAGCAATGGGTTCCCGGACCTAAGCACCTCGGCAAGGACCACCACGGCTGGGAGTACAAGGCTCATGACATCTGGAGGAAAAAGGTCGTCTGGAAGGCACACTGGAAGAAGATCTGGAGAACCGAGAAGAAGCAAATCTGGGTCGAGAGCAAGAAACTGGAATGGAAGGAAGAGTGGAAGCAGATCTGGGTGCCAAGCAAGAAACAGATCTGGGTAGAGAGCAAGAAATTGGCCTGGAAGGAAGACTGGAAACAAATCTGGGTACCTAGCAAGAAGCAGATCTGGGTGGAGAGCAAGAAACTGGCCTGGAAGGAAGCATGGAAACAGATCTGGGTGCCGAGCAAGAAGCAGATCTGGGTTGACGACAAGAAGCTGGAGTGGAAGGAAGACTGGAAAGAAATCCAAGTCCCCGCCTGGAAGAAGATCTGGGTGCCCGCCTGGAAGAAGATCTGGAAGCCCGTCTGGATCTCCGAATGGTTCCCCATCCCCGAGCATAAGCCGCACCACGACTGGGACCGCAAGGACAACGGCCAGCAGCAGCTGCAGCAGCAACCTCAGCCTTTACAACAACTGCAGCCACAGCCGCAGTGGGACCGGTCATGGCAGCAGCTGCAGCAGCACCAGCAGCAGCAGTTCGGGGAGCAGCAGCGGTGGCGGCGGCAGGACAACGCGCCCACCCCACTGGTAGCCTTCCCCCAGCAGGCCGCGCAGCCCGCCCAGGCCGCCCAGGCCGCCCAGGCCGTGCAACAGCCCACCGAGTACCTGCAGCCGCCCGCGGCCTAGCGACCTAACCTAACCTGCTCAACCAGACGCGAAGGTCTTCGGTCTCTCAGCGCCGTTGTCAAGGCACCCCAGAGGCCCCAGACCTTGGCGCCACCAGGTCTCTTAGTCGGCGAGGAGAAGAGAGCGGAAAAAAGTCATTTTTTGTATTGTTGTTGTTGTTGATTGTTCCACGTAGGTCTATATGATGAATTGAAAGTTACCAAACCAGCATTGATATGATGTCGAGGTGTTTCGTACCAAATTCTTAGAGTAACAAAATGCTTTTGTGCCGACCTGTTAACCTGAAACCTGTGACTGTCTTCGTGTGTGTGAGTCAGAATGTGTGCGTGTGTGTGTGTTTTATTGTACATATTGTTATGTTTGAAAACACAACCTTGTTATGTTTGTTCCTTTTATAATTAAATGTGTTTTGTACAAACGGCTTCTCTGCGTTAGTTATCCTGATGCCCCTTATCCACATAAGAAAACAAAGCTGAATAATTCGCAAAAATTAAAGAATTCTAAAATTTAATGGCAGCTTCAAAAAGCTGCTATAATGTTAAACCTTAATTCGTTTTTAAAATATCAGGCACGTGAGTTTTACAAGCAGCTCATTTAAAATAAAATAGGAAAATAACTCTACAGCGTTTGCATGAGACCCGACCCAAAAGTCAAAATTACGTAAAATCACCGCGGGTCAAAAAGAAGGGGGAGGGGGAAAATGCCCCCCACCTGCCCTCCGCGGTTATGTGATTAAACTGATGTCGAAACGTGGTCGAGTGGGCAGCGGGTTGTCTTCCACAACGAGGGCAACATTTTCTTGCGACGATTTGAACCTCCCCACACACACACACAGACGTTGCGCAAGAGCAGGAAACGGGTTGGGAAATTGGCCCAGCGTGGCCCAGCGTGGCCCAGCCCTCCGCGGCCACGCCACTGTAGCCGAGACTGTAGCCTAGTCGGCCGAGACGAGTCCGTTGCCTCGGCGCCTCGCCGCGCAGCAGCCACAGCCGTGGTGCGAGGCGATGCAGTGACGCAGCGCGCCCGCGCCCGTTGGGTGGCCCACCTCCCGGCGGAGCCACCGTCGCTCTGTCTCTCTCGCACCCACGAAGCAGCCCGGCGACCCGGAGGGGTGCGAGAGAGACAGAGCGTCGCGGACGGAGCGTCGAAAGCACTGTTTGGCGGTCGGGTTCATTTTTAATCCCTCCTTCTGTTTCGGCCGCGCGGTTTTTGGGGGAAAAAGATAAGAAAGACGATTACGGAGCTTGGCGCAGTCCCCGCGAAACCATTCATTCTAACGCTGCTGCTTTTCTGCACACACGTGGACGGCATAGACGTCCTCACGTTCCTGGGAAGCATGATTTTCCGCTCCCGACGCCTCCGACGCGCACTCCGAGGAACCGAACCCGACCGAACCCTTTGCGACAACAGCGAGACTCTGCGGCTCCTCTGCGTCCCTCTCACTCACACCTCCGAGCCATCCACAAGCAGCAGCGACAACATTTCGCGGGAATGTTTGTCCCGAAAAGTGGGCGCGCACGCAGTAAGCCATTTTTCTGTCCGCCGCGCCGCGCCCCTTTCCAGGCACCGCCGCCTTATCTGCGCAATTAACTAACGCCTCGCAGTGCAGTGGGCATTCCTCTCAGGCGAGTCGAACGAACGCGGAAAAAGCGCGAGCCACTCATTTGCACGCCATCGGCGATATTGGTCGGTGATAAGGCCTCGTTCGCTGAAGATGGCGACGCGGTGGCCCGGATTGCCGATAAGAGGCTGACCTGTGAATCACGGAATGGTTCACCTTTATTTAAAGAAATTATGATACTAATTTGTGGACAACACTATGAGATGAAGGTTCAATTTTCGAATGAGACAAAACTGCATCAATCCCCATTAAGACCTTGTTTCGTAGGGAAGGTTCTTCCTGCGTGACGTGCGTGAACGCGTAAACCAAAATCGGGCTCCACGTGGTTCGATCTATTTTCTCCTCCCCGTCCGAAAATCGAACTCGTTTTTCACAGTGCACCATATCCACGTTGAAGTCGCGCCAGTCAGGGAACTGCACTACAAAAACAGATTTGGGGATGACTGCGCGAAGCGTGCTGCTATTTTGGTGGCCAATGGCTGTCCGCTGGCTGCCACACCCACCCGAAAACACGAGGGAAGGACCGAAGGACTGACCCAGGACGTTGTCCGGTCTCCCCGTCGCGGCCCTCAATCGGTCGACAGTCGCCCTCCGCGCTGGTCAGTGACTCCACCCCGTCTGCCTGCTTGACCTTCGCCAAGTGCGTGTCCGCCTCGAGTGCGAGAGAGACGGACAGAGACGCAGGGCGCTCGGCCCGCGGGTGCGAGCGAGAGGGAAGACCGCACTATCACGGCGGGCAGGGCACGCGCCTGCTAATCCCACACCCTTATCTCGCGGTGCCGCGGTGCCGCGGAGACGCGCTGCGACCGGGAAGTCCCTATTTAAACGCGGGCTGGAGGCGAGGCAGCAAAGTGCAGCGCACGCCCGCCAACATGAAGCTCGTCCTCGTCCTGCTCCTCGCCGCCGGCACCGCCTCGGTGAGACGGTTGACCCGCACAGCGTCTTGCCGCCACCTCTGTCTCTCTCGCGCACCTACACGGGACGCTCCGTGGATGTGAGAGAGACAGAGCTGTCACGGTGCGCTCTGTCCTCCAGGCGTCGCGGCCCCTGCTGCCGGTGCAGCCTCTGGCGCCCGTCAACCCCAGCCACACCTTCGAGGAGTGGGAGCGGATCATGGAGGACGCCCAGGAAGCGCTGCCGGAAGTGTGCGAGGGGTGCCAGAAGGGGACGGAGCCGCAGCCTGGTAGGTGCAGCAGGTGGGCCCATGTTTCACACTGTCCCACGCCATTTTTAAATTGTTAAAAAATGTTGCTGCAGACGTGGCTGGCGTGCTGGCTGCCGGCGTGGAGCCCGCCCTGGGCCGTCTGGGCACCCTAGGCGGCCTGCGTGTCATCGGGGGCTCCCAGGCCGTGGCGGGCCAGTTCCCCTGGCAGGCGCAGGTCAACATGGACAACAGCTACTTCTGCGGGGGGTCCATCATCAGCAGCCAGTTCATCCTGAGCGCCGGCCACTGCGCCTCCGGGTTCAGCCTCTTCCGCATCGTGCTGGGGTCCCTGTTCACGGCGGACATGAGCGAGTCCAACAGGCTGACCTACGTCACCAGGGAGGCCTACGTGCACGAGAAGTTCGACCTGGCCGCCATCCTAAACGACATCTCCGTCTTCAAACTGCCCGCGGACGGCATCACGACTTGGACGCGTAGGTGTTGCACAGTGCTCTCGTCGCTCTGTCTCTCTCGCACTGGCGGGGCACTCCGTGGGGGTGCGAGAGAGACAGAGCGACGGAGTACATCCCTCTCCCTCTTCTCGCAGCGTACGTCCGGCCCGTGCTGCTGCCATCCTTCAGCCAGGCCAGGGAGACCTTCCTGGGCCAGACCGTGACGCTCAGCGGCTACGGCCGCTACGGCACCAGCAGCGTGTGTGAGTATGCACTTTCGTCCTGTCTCTCTCGCTCTCAAGGGGAGTTCTGATCGGTGTGCGAGAGAGACAGAGCGATGAGAGCGCCTGCCGGCGCGTCGGATGGGTGGCCTAGCTCCGCGGCGCTCCGAGGCCGCTCGGCACCTTCACGTCAGCCGAAGCAGCGGCGCCACCCAGGACCACTTACAGTGCCTCTTCCTTGAGGCTGTGAAATCTGATTCCACAATCGGCTGTCTGTAACTGTAACTTCCGTGTGATTGGCATGCAGCGCCGTCCATCAGCCCCGTCCTGCGCTGGGTCAACCTGAACGTCATCACCAACGCCGAGTGCGCCAAGACCTACGGCTCCGTCGTCAAGTCCACGGTCCTCTGCACGGCCGGCGGCACCCGCGTCGGGCCCACGGGCTCGTGCAACGTCAGTACCCACACTAATTGTCCGTGTTGTTGTTGGTGCACTGTAACTGACGGCCGCCTCTGCGACAGGGCGACTCCGGCGGCCCGCTCACCGTCAGCATCAACGGCGCCGCCGTGGAGGTGGGCATCGTGTCGTTCGGCAGCAGCCGCGGCTGCAACCTGGGCTACCCGTCGGCCTTCACGCGCGTCACCTCCTACCTGGAGTGGATCAGCGACAAGACCGGCATCTCCATCCGGAAGTAGAGCAAACGGCAGTGCACGGATCTTTGTTGATATTTTTACACCTTTTTTTACATTGAGTGATGATGATTGTGATTTGTTATTTTAATGATTTTTGTAGAAATACACGGATTTTTATTCCTGTCAGTCTGAGTTGTTCTTCGGCCGTGGCGCGGCCCGTGTCCCTCCAACAGGTGGATTACGTGGATAGGCTGGCCGGGCTGGCCAGGCGGGCTTAGCGAGATAAAAGGATACTAGCTAATCGCGTCACCAGCGATCCACGCGAATGCGAAGGCACGAGCGGGCCTCGTCGCGCTGTCTCTCTCGCTCTCGTGGGGTGGTCGTCGCGGGGGCGCGAGGGAGGCGGAGCTCCGGCAGACACAGTGTGAAGTGACCGCGCAATTATTTAGGGGGCCGGGGTCGGGGTGGGGGGGTCGGTGGGGGCGTCGGTGGGGGCGTCGGTGGGGGCGGGGGTAGTGGGCGCGGGGTGGGGGCGGGGGTAGTGGGGGCGGGGGTGGGAGGGCGCGTAGGGACGACCAGGCCCGTTTTCTCCGCGATCCACTCGACGTATGACGTCACCCTGGTGTAGGCGCTGGGGTAGCCCCAATTGCAGCCCAGGTCCGAGCCGAACGAGAACACGCCGATCTGCGTGAAGACGCCGTTGGCGTCGGTCACGAACAGAGGGTCGCCCGCGTCGGTCTAGAGAAAATCAAAAAGAAACGCGTTGGAATTTATTAGTAAAAAGCGCTTCCACTTCACCGTAAGAAAAAATTGGCACGGACGGCTTGTTGGAGACTCACCCCGCACGCGCCGACAGTGCCCTCGCCGTCGGCGCAGATGACGGAGTCCGTCACGTGGTGGCCGAGGAAGCGCTTGCAGCGCTTGTTGGACATGACGGGCTGCGACACGTACATCAGGTTGTACGCCGGGAAGCCGTCTGCAACGCCAAAGCTAGCGGTCAGAACCACCCTCTCGTCCGAAAACGATTACAGTCGGAGATTAGTCCCTTGGCCTTACACTGTGTGGTGCCCCAGCCGCTGACGGTGGCGGACTGCCCCTCGTAGGTCTCTGCGTAGTCAGTGGACAGCTGGATGGGTTGGATGGCAGCTGTGAGACAACAATGTCACAGTTCAAAAGCGTTCTCGTTTTTCCAGAGCTGCTGCGCTGCGCGGGGACGGTTTAAACTTGCCGTTGTACTTGACGGGCACCAGGAGCTGGAGCAGGCCGATGTCGTTCTCGATGGTGTCCTCGCTGTAGTCCTCGGGCACGATGCTCTTGTACGTGCAGGCGATGTGGATGGTGCCCGAGGTCCACATGAGGCTGTTGTCGCCCAGGATCACGGTGTAGGACTCGTACCTGGAACGGCACGGTCATTCATAGATGTGCCGGTGGCTCTCTGTCGCAGAGTCCAGCACACTGATTCCTAGAGTCGTCTTCGTCGCTCTGTCTCTGTCGCACCCACGTGGGCGCCGTGAAGGTGCGAGAGAGAGGCTCGACTCACCCGCTGGCACACTGCGCCGCCGTCAGGATGAACGAGTCGGTGATGAGAGAGCCCCCGCACGCGAACGTGCTGTCCATGGAGATGCTGGCCATGAAGGGGAACTGGTTGTCGTCGGCGTACTGGCCGTGGATGATGCGCAGCCCTCCGTTCACCACCCTCTGCTTCGCCAGCGCCACGCCGGACTGCGAGTCAAAAGGACAACGTCATCTACACTGGGAGACAGGGTTGCCGAGGACGCCGTCGACGGGGAAGCCAACCTGCTGCCGCGGGGCAGCCACGGCGGCCGACACCAGGACCGCGACGACCAGGAGGAGCACCTTCATGTTGGCGCGGCGCGGGCGAACTGTCTTCCAACATGGCGGCGGCGTCCTTATAGACTACCGGCTTATCGAACCGTGACGTTAAATAGCAGCGGATTTCGGTAAGCCGCTGGCGCCGGCTAGCGCGCCGCGGGGCCGCGGCGAGAGCCTTGCCACGACCCTGCCGGCGCGGCGGGAGGCAGGCCGCCCTGGAGGTAGGCAGCCCAACGTGCGCGCCTCGCGGAACCGCCGTCACCTGCGGTTCAATCCTCACTGTTGTTATTGCTCCTCGGATTGCTTCTTCGTCTATCGCGGGAAGGCTAGGCCCTGCCTTTACCCGTCAGATAGGCAGATAAGCGGAATCGCAGCGCCACTGGCTTGACAGCTACCGGGCATTCGAAGCCCTTCGAGAGTCTCGAGACATGGCCCCGTCCGCACACTCCGTCGCCGCGCTGGCCCTGCTGGCCCTCGCCCTGCTGGTAAATACGTAAATACGAACACGGGGCAAACTCGCCCCTTGTGCCGCTGGCCGGCTAAACCCTGTGGACATGTCAGCCGTCACTTTTACTGGCAACGTCAAGGCTGAATTTTTACCACCACTATAACGTCGTCAAACCAGCTGATGACTCTGTGCACTGTTTTGAACGCTGACGGAAAATGTTCTCCCCGCAGGTCGGGCTGGCCGAAAAATCACAAGCCGTTCCCGAAGGTACAGTGACTTCGCTTGCACCCACTCGAGGAACCGTGCGTAGCGATTTCCTGATTGGACTGTCACGTGCCCAGAGTGCCAACCAAAATAATTGCACCAATGTGACAACGTTGGCGGAAACCTGGCGTTACTGATCCGTTATTTGAAGTTTCTTCTTTTTCCTGGGGCGCTAAATTGATCTCGTTTTGACGTTGGCTTCTCCCTTCCGGCGCGGTGTGTGCACTGTTGCGCCGTCCAGACAGCAGCATCGCCTACCCCGGGCAGTTCCCCTGGCACGCCGCCGTCTTCCAGGCCAGCCCCTCCACACTGCTGGGGTCCGGCATCCTCGTGGGCTCCCAGTACGTCCTCACGGCGGCCAGCACGTAAGTCCTGTTTCGGTCACAGTCTTTTTGTTTTTGTTTTTTTTTTGTTTGGTCAAAGGAATGCCCTGACGCCTTTTCAGCGTGACGGACAAGAGCGCCGCCGACGTGAGGGTGCTCCTGGGGGAGTTGACGACGGCCAAGGGCGGCAACGTGGCCGTCTCCGCCATCAAGCCGCACGAGTCCTGGTCGGCGGACAGCGACGAGAACGACATCGCCCTCCTGGTCTTGGCTGGGCCCGTCCTCGGTGAGCAAACATTCTTCATTTGTTTTTGATTTTTTTTTGCGCTGTTTTTTACTGATTTGCCTGCTGCAGCCTCCGTCACCCCCGTGCGCCTCCCCGCGCGCTACTACCAGGGCGCGACCTACGTGGACCAGACGCTGTCCGTGACTGGCTGGGGCACTGACGACGGTAAGCGAGCAAGACCAACGTGCCCCTGTGTCTGTCGCACGCGTGGGGCGTCCCGTGCAGGTGCGAGGGAGACAGAGCGACGAAGCGCGAAACGAGATGTTAAAATGAATGGCCACCGTGTCCGCAGCCGGCAACACCGAGACGTACCTGAGCGTGTCCAACCTGAACGTCATCAGGAACAGAGAGTGCCAGACCCTGCAGAACCAGAACGCGCGCCTCCCGTGGACCAAGATGTGCGCCGTGGGCACAGGCCCCACGCCCTGCAAGGCAAGTAGTGCCAGAAGATGGACAGGGAAACGGTGTTTGGCGCACTTTAAAAACCCACGCTAAGTGTTTGATACTTTGTTCAGGGCGACAGCGGCGACCCCGTCGTGTTCCTGGAGAACGACAGCAAGTACACCCTGGTGGGCATCCTCACCAAGGACACGCAGTGCTCCACCAAGCGGCCCAGCACCATCACCAGGATCACCGAGTTCCTCGACTGGATCAGCACGGCCAGCGACGGCCACATCGTCATCCAGAACTAAAGTCTGCCGCCTGCCGCCTTCAGCGAAACTCAACTAGCCCTTTTTTTTCACAGTAAAATTAAACTTTTGAGCTTTTTCTTCTCTCCATTGCTGTATTTGGCCACGCCGACCCTTTGACAGTCGTTCTCGGAAAGCGTGGGCGCGCCGTCCACCGAGCTACCCCACCCCACCCCGCCTCACCCCACCCCACCCCACCCCACCCCGCCTCACCCCACCCCGCCACTACGCCGGCAGAAAACCAACGATTTAATGTGCCGAGTAAAAACAAGCAGCTGGCACGTGCGGTCCCGACGCCCCTACACCCTGTGTGCGAGCGAGACAGAGGTACGCGGTAAAAACGCGTCCTGGAAAAAAAAATCTCATTCAACGAACGTTAATGAAAGCAGATGATCCATCGCACTTCACAAGTGCTGTGATAGCCGAGAGGTTAGAGACGTGGGATCGAGTTACCGCAAGCCGGCGTTCGGATACCAGCGTCACAAAAGTTTTTTCGACTTGCTATCCTAAGGGTGGTGGTTCGAGGCCATGAGAGCGGAGCCGTGTGCAACAGGCCCACATGCCGGAGGTTCGACTCCTAACAAATATTTCCATTTAATTTTACTGCCTCACCCAGTGCGGTTCAAACCCGTAAACGTGAGCCCCCTCCGAGCATGGGACGTGGTGGTCCAGGGAGTAGAGGCGTCGGTTCTCAGTGCTAGGGTCGGCGGTTCGACTCCCCCAACTTCTTGCGAAATTTTGACCGGGTCGGTCGAGTCCTGTTGCGTCAAGAACCCACCGCACGCCGATCCCCTCATCATGGGCCGTGGTGGCCGAGAGCGTAAAGTCGTGTGATCCCGATGGCGGGGTCCGGGGATCGAATCCCATCATTTCATTACATTTTTCGACCACCTTCCTCCCAGTGCAACTCAAACCCGTCGTCCAACACGCTCCCAGACGTACAAGCGTGATAGCGTAGTGGTCAGAGTCACATTCACCTGGCCACTCCGCTGTGGGTGTCTAAAAAGCAATCCGCTTCGGCGGGTTGGCCTCGGCACTGGAGCGATGGCGTATTTGATCCATCAATCCAGACCACCCGGTGTGTGGTTGCGGGTGGTGCCTCCTTGACTCGTCGGGGAGGCGATGATAAGTCCTTTGAAGCTGGCCTAAAACGCTGTATGTTCGGTACGGGAGCGCCGGACAGTGGGGGTACCATGGGGTACACAACCAACCCTACGAAAACAAGAAGCTCCCACCAAACCTCTTCTCTGTCTGAGTCTCTCTCTGTCTCTCTGTCGTCTCACTCTACGTCCCGCCCCTCAAAGAGCTTCGTACTGGGTGCTCTCACCCAGCTGCCTGAGCTTTGGGGTCCTACTGGGTCCCCCGGCGAACGCTTGGGTCGCTGACGGGATTAACCCCAGGTACCTGATAGCACCGGTTCCCATCCCGAACACCGAAGTAAAGCAGGAGGCCTCCCCATTAAGACTGGGGAGGGGGTGTAGAGTTCAAATTTTTTTCTTTTCCCTTTCAAATTTCTCAGTCAATACTCGTTCGGTTTCCTTATACGGGGTAGTATGCGGGCTCATTCCAAAGATAGTAATTAAAATTGTGTATGAAACAAAATATATAGACCCGAGCGAGGTGGCCGGTGTTGGTACTAGCCGTGCCGAGCTCCTCACACTGCGCCACATGCAGCTGTGCGAGGGAGACAGAACCATCACACTGCATGCACCCGTCAGGTACTTCTACTTCGTTGAAAGAGCGCACCACAAGAGGGCACAGCAACCCGCTTCCAATGTCGCCGCTGCGCAAACAAAACTATCAAAGTGACTTGCACTCGGCAAGGGCACAAAGTCGGCACAACTCCACAGAGCACGGAATGCTCGACCGGCGCCGCCAAAGCGCCGTTTGAAAGTTTGAAACGCGCGCGTTAAACTGCCGCTCAAACGCGCCGCGCATGTAGCGGCGCGGCGGGCTGCTTGTCAACAGGTCGGCGTCGACCTGGGGAGCGGCGTGCTCTCGTCGCTCTCGTGCCTTGGGAGTGCGAGAGAGACAGCGCGGACGCCGCAGTGATAGTGTTTACCGAGACGGGCCGCCTCCGCCACGCCCCCCGGTGGCGGGGCGGCGCGAACCGCCCTTCGGCCCAGCGCGCAGTCCGCGCCCGAGCACCCCGAGACCACCATGAGCCTGCCGCCCTGGGCCCTCGGCCAGGACCACGGCCAGGACCACGGCCAGGACCACGGCCAGGACCACGGCCGCGGCGCAGAGCCCCCCGCGGTCACCTGTTGGCCGCCACACTACCTGTGGCGGGCAGCGCCCCCGCCGTGGCCGCTGCCTTGGCCCCAGCCGCAGCAGGTAGGCCCGCCCGCGGTCCTAGTCGCTCCGTCTCTCTCGCACTCGCGGGGCGTCACGTAGGAGTGCGAGGGAGACGGAGCGACGGAGGGCCGTTCGGAATCGACCTGCAGGATCGGAGCCGCAAAACGCTCGAGGAAATCATGTTTAAAGCGATCTGACTTTCCCAACAGCCGCCGCAGAAACCGCCCTACTCCTACATCGCCCTCATCACCATGGCCATCTGCTCGTCGCCCTGCCGCAGGATGACGCTCGCGCAGATCTACCGGTTCATCGCCTCGCACTTCCCGTACTTCAGGGAGAACCGCCAGGTCTGGACCCAACCCAATCCAATCCCCTTCTAACTACCTCAACGGAATGGTTTTCAGTGTGCCCATTGTTGCGCAGGGCTGGCAGAACTCCATCCGGCACAACCTGAGCCTCAACGAGTGCTTCGTGAAGGTGCCGCGGACGCCCCAGGACGCGGAGCAGGACGCGGACGCCGCGGTGGGCAAGGGCAGCTACTGGACGCTGGACCCCGTGCTGGCCGCCGACATGTTCGACGGCGGCAACTACCGGCGGCGCCGCACCCGGGGCAGCCGGCCGCTCAGGGCGCCGCGGTCGCGCAAGGTACGGCGGCGGCTCGAAGTAGAACCGTGTTGCTCTGGAGCGCAGTAGAGGTCACGGGGACTGGTCTTCGGCGTAGTTGATCGGGAACCGGGCGAGGCCGTCGAAGGCGTCGAGCCCCTTGACGCCGTCCTCGGCGTCCGCCCGCGTCCAGGACGACGCCGACCACGCCGACGGCCCCCGGACGCCCTTCAGCGTCTTCTCCATCGACAGCCTCATCTCGTCGGACGGTAGGCGAAACGCGGAGGGGCGGAAGGACGACCCCTCTGCTATTGTTGTTTATTGTTCTTTTTTCGCTCTCACCGACGCGCGCAGCGAAAGGGCGGCAATTGCCCGTAAACCAGTTCCTCGTCGGGACGGTCGGGATGCACAACCCGTTTCATTCTCGCTCCTCGCGCACGCGCGGCTAATGGTATTAGTCCATGTTATTCACTCGGCACGCTGGACGCGCTGGACCGACCCTCCCCCTCCGCTTCCCGCCGAATTGTCTTCACCTCGGTTGACCTCCCGCTCGCCCCGCCCGCTGGACCTCCGCTGTTGCCCAATGCTGGACGATGAAGCTTTTGGAATGTGTGGACGGCGTACTCGGGCGCTGGGGGCGTTCCCAGGATGCCTTTGGAGGTGTCGGTCACTAGGGCGTTCTAAGGGTGTTCTCGGGGTGCGCTCCTGGATGTCTGTCGGGCGTTCTCAGGGCGTTCCCAGGATGCGTCTAGGGCGTTCCCAGGATGCATTTGAGGTGTTCCTGGACGTTCCCAGAATGCGTAAGGAGCGTTCCTGGGCGTTCCTAGGATGCATCCGGGGGTTCTCAGGGCGTTCCCAGGATGCGTGAGGGGCGTTCCCGGGCGTTCCCAGGATGCGTGTGAGGCGTTCCAGGGTGCTGCAGGATGCGTGGCGGTGAAAGGCGGCGGTCGGCCTTGGCGGCGGCATTGGCTCTGCCGGCCAAACAGGCCAACAGGCCGAATGACCAGGCGGGCCTACCAGGCCCAGGCGCGGTGCAGCGGTATCTCACGCGCGCGGGGGAGGCTAATTGATTCAAAAATGAAGTTCGTGACTGTGGCCGCGGCGGGCGCGCGTCGTTTGAGTTTGTTTTCCTGTCCGGCCGAAATGAACGGCGTCGTCGTCTGCTCGCACTGCACTCTTGGCTTGTCGGCCGGGCACGCCCGGAGCGGCCGGCAAAGGTCACGACGGGGCAGCGCGGCGGTCTCCTTTTCAATTTCCCACATCTCTGCTCGCTGCACAGCGAAAACAAAAGTAAAAACGCTAAGTTTTGTGACTAAGTGTCGGCGCAGGACGTACCCTGCCGGGCAAGACTCACTCGCTTGCCGCAACGTGCCGTCCAGTGCACCACGCGTGCGAACGTTCACTTTTCGCGGCGTTGTGAAAAAAGTGACGTCGTTTCGTTGTGACAGGGATAATTGCTTTGACGTCACTCATTGGCCCGCCTGCCCTCCTGACCCGCGCCGCCGAGCTCCATGGAGGCACGCCGAGGTGGCCGCGGGTGCGTCTCAGCCATTAGCTCTCGTAGCTCCTCCACTGTAGCGCCCCTTGTCGCGAAATTCGGCGTCAGCTCTGCGCTGGAGAACAGTCCGGCCTTGACCCAGATTGTGCAGTGCATTGGAAGGGACGGCACTCTTTGCGCGCGTCCAGCATCGCCCGCGATCTGATTGGATGACGACGCGGTCGGCGGAGGAAGAGGGGCGGGGCGGGGCGGGGCGGGGCGGCCGGCCTTCCAGAAGACACACCGCCCTGTTACTCACACCTCGGCGATGAGATGCGAGAGGCGCGCGCATCCACACGCCAACCCGGAGCCCGGCTCGGCTCGGCCTGCGGTCAGCGCGCTCGGCTCGGCTCGGCTCGGATCGCCGTTCGGACGGGCCTTCGTGTCTCTGGTCCGGCGGCCTACACTTTACACTGCACAGTGGCCGACCGGCTGGCTGGCTGGCTGGCAGCAAGCGGCGATTAGATGGCGAGATGGGCATCACAACGAAGGCGTGGCGAGCATAGCGTGTGTGCTACCGGCCGGCCACCGGGTCGCGGGGGGCGACTGGTTCTGATCGAAAGTGGCCATCCTTAGACCTCGCACCGCGCCCCGCCCCGCCCCGCCCCGCCCCGCCCGAGCTGGACCATCCCACCCGTCCAGTCCACTCGCCACGGGGGATTTGTGCAATGAGACACATCCATCTTGACGTCCATCACAACGCCCTGACCAGCAGGCGGATTCCGCGCCGTGCTCCGGTCGCTCTGTCTCTCTCGCGCTCGCGGGGTGAGCCGCGAGCGACAGAGACGGAGCTAGGGAATGCCGCGTGGAATCAGCCCGCAGGCAGACGACTAGCGTGCCATAAGGTGGCTGGGCGGCCGCGGTGGGCGGGGCGGGGCGGGGCGGGGCGGGGCGAGGCGGGGCGGGGCGGGGCGGGGCGGGGCGGGGCGAGGCGGGGCGGGGCGGGGCGGGGCGGGGCGGGGCGGGGCGGGGCGTCGCGGCCAAGGCCGCACTCTTCCCTGGAATAGCTGCAGCCGATTCCTACCGGCGCTTTCGTCGCTCTGTCTCTCTCGCACTCGCGGGCCTTCTCACCGGGGTGCGAGAGAGACAGAGCCTGATGAGGTTCCAGGTACTCGGCGGTACGTGACGGCAGTTTGCCCAGTGATGCGCTAACGAAGGCGGAGACGGCCTGGGTGGTGCCGCGGCGGCGGGGCTCCCCAAAAATGCGGTCCAGGATGACCTCCCCGTCGTGGACGCGGACCTCGGCCCGAGGACTGACCCACTGGCCGGCCGACGGACGGGCACTGAGGACGGACAGTTAGCAGCGAGTTGCACTGCCACGCTCCAACTGGCCTGCAGAGGCCGATTCTACATGCTGTCTCCAATGTCGCTCTGTCCCTGTCACACTCGCGGTGCGTCCCGCAGGGGAGCGAGAGAGAGACAGCGACGATCAGCAGCACTGCGTGGACCCGCTCGGCCAGGCCGGCAATAATAACAACAAAAGAAAAAGTCGCGGTGCGAGGTGACGAAAAAAAAAAGACACAAAAGAATGGCTCCTCTCCTTATTCGTCGAGGCGCATTGAGAGCGAAATGAGCGCGCGCAGCGCTTTTGTCCCGGAGGCTCGAATCATAACCACTGGCTCTAACTCACCAACGTCCTCAAAGCGCAGAACGCAAAGCGCGGAGCGGTCAACGGGCGCGTGCCTTTCAACTCGCGGCCAGCCAGCCGGCCGTCGGGGAGCCCCACACTGTTTGCAGGGTGAAGGGCTGGGCGGTTTTTATATTTCAATATCAATACCCAATATTCAAAATATTGAAATTTCTCTCAATATCAATATTTGGTATTGATATTGAATATATTGACTGTCAATATAAATATTGAGATATTGAAATATTGAAAAATTGAAATATTGAAATGTTGAAAAATTGAACTATTCAAAAACGCAAATATTGGAAATAGTAGGCGAGTAAAATGAAAGGAATAAGAAAAGAAAAGGTAGGAAACGATGATATATCCATATATATCATACATTGAGAGCAGCACGCGACAAAGGTGGAGGCAGGGGCAGGAAAGGGAAAGGGGGTCGTTTCCAACGCTCGCTGAACTTCCTCGCAACCACCCCAATATTAACTCTGAAATATTGACTTCAATATCAGATATTGAAATATTGAGATCAATATCATGTATTGAGATATTGAGACCAATATCAATATCGAATATTGATATTGGTCATTTCAATATGCCGATATTGAAATTTCAATATAAAAAATATTGAAATTGAAGTCAATATATTGAAAAACCGCCCAGCCCTAGGGTGAACGTCCCGCCCGCAAAGTCGCGGGAAATCAAGGTCTGCTGCTCCAGCTTTGTGAAGGGAGCGCCTGCCACTCAGACCTGCCCGTGGAACAGCTGTGTGTGGCGGGTCTGCCTACCCTCACGCCTCGAGCGCCTGACGCACGACGGGTAGGCCGGCCCGCCGAACATCCTAGTGTAGCGGGCTTGCCTACCCCGCGAGTGGCAGGCGCTCCAGGCGCGAGGGTAGGCAGACCCGCCACTCACAGCTGTTCGGCGGGCAGGCCTACCCGTCGCTTGGCAGGCGCTTCGGGGTTCGGCGGTGACACTGCTGCAAGCGGCAAGGCCACCGCGCGCGCCGCCAGGGCCTTGGCTGGGCCTTGCGGGGCCGCCCTGCATCCGAACGCCTCTCACCCGGTCGAACTAACAACTCCCTGCGCGAACGGACACGACGCCGTACATAAACGCTTTGCTGGACCTACCAACACCAACAGCACCTGGCTACGGCTGCTTCAACTTTTCAGTCAACAAAACCAGCTTCCTAATTTATTTATTTTTCGCGTGTAATGCAGACAGAGTCGCTGGAGTCACTGGGCGGTCGGTTGGGATTGAATCATCCATTCGACGTCGTCGGCGCGTCTCCGGGACGGCGATGTGGCGGCGATACGGCGCGCCCGGCGCCTAGTGTCTCCTTCTAGCCACCGGTCCGGCGGAACTCGTTAGCGCCGTCTCCCTCGCACTCGTAGAGCGCCCCGCGTGCGAGAGAGAGACGGAGCGACGCTCGGAATATCGGTCTGGTCCAGTCACTAAAGCTGTCAAAGCGCGGCCGCGGGGTCGCGTGGCCGAACGGCCGGCCGATGATACCTCAAACACGACACGCGCCAAAATAGAAAAAAAGGTCAAGGGGAGTGCCACGCCGATGAAGAATGAGTTTTTGGCAGGGTATTCGTAATATGGGTTGGTCTTGTCGGCGGGGGCGGCGGGCATGCCCCGGCAAGCCCGACCGCCAGGCGTTAGGTTGTGTCACGAGAAGCGGAAAAAGGAATGTGACAACTGCGCTTGTGTGTGTGCGTGTGCATGTCCTTGTGCATGTTTCGATGTTTCGCAGCGTGTTGGTGTGAGTGTGCGTTACGGAGGGCACAACAGTAAATTCGGCTGAGGGCGGTCCCAGACAAGGGTCTCGGACCGGTCACAACTCGATGACGTCACCAAATGCAGCTCATGAACGTCACGTTGAGGAAGGCTCTGGTGTTGCCAGGGGGCTGGGCCGAGCCAGCGGTGCATCTCTTGGCAGCAGTAAAATAAATCGCCTTACACACACGCACACACACGCGCATGTATAAATGTACCTTCATATCAGTAAGCACGCATCGGGACCTCCTTTGCGCCCCGCCCCCTCCTCCCATTTCCCTCGCAAACTCTCCTCCATCCCGTCAAAAAGGTGTCTTATTTTACTCGATTTGGGTCAACGATGACAAATTCGTGCGGACACCTCGGCTGACGTGACGCACATCCGTTATCTGTCGGTCGGCAGCCTTGGCGTGGCGTGGCGCGGCGCGGCGCGGGGGATCAGGTTTTCTTTATCAGGTCCTCGAGCCGAGCCGAACGGACCCGAACGGACTACGCGACGGAAGGCCGTGTTGCAACCAGCATGGAAAGGCATGGTGGACTACAATGTCACGCGATGTGTTTTGGAGACGGTTCTGGAATGTAGTCAGACTGGACTGCGTCCGACTGCGTCGCGTCGGTGGCTCGGTGACGCGGGGCGGGGTTCTGCAGGAACATCCCGGCTTCCGCCCCTGCTGCTACAGTGCCCTGCCTCATGTCGTTTCTTTTTATTCGAATCCAGTCTCTCTGTCTCTTGGCTCGGACGGCCGCAATCGCAAGAGAGCGAGTGAGATGGCACGCGAACGGCGTGGCTGGCTGGCCGGCTAACGAATGTCTGATACAATTAGCGGCACTACCACTCGGCCGGGTGCCGGGTCCGCATCGCGTTGCGAAAATGGATTTGCGAAAGCGGACCAATCCCCGTCCCCGCCCCGCCCCCTCCCCTCTGATTCACGTTCGTCGACGGCATTGTCATCCGGCATAACCTCCACCGACTCCGCGAAAGCAGCAGCGGCTTTTCGAAGCCGAGCGCCAACGAGCGGACAGGCCGTTGCGAGAACGACTCCCAGAAGTAAAGCAAGTGGAAGGATCGCATCATTCGCTTCGGCGGCTCCGGGTCCAGGACTCTAGGTGCGAGTTGGAGCAGATGGGCAGCCTCATTACTTTCCTGTAATCACACACTACGCGCTGCGTGCTCGGCCGGGGCAGCCTTGCTCGCCTTCTTGGTCTCGGTCTCGGTGAGGATGCTCTCGTGACCCGGCCAGACCCCGCCGGAAACAAGGCCACTTTGCTTCCAGTCCGCGCGGCCCACCGAAATCATGTGCGCGCGCCCGCGGCTCGGCTCGGCTCGGCTCGGCTCGGCTCGGCTCGGCTCGGCCGACAGTTTTTCGCTCCAATACGCGAGTCGGGTCACGGAGTAAACCGCGAGGCGGCGCCGTCGTGGAGGTCGCGGGGCGCGCAGGGCCGCTCCGGCGGCGGCGCCCTGCTCGGGGGATCCGGGGTGGGGGCGCGGCGGGGCGCGGCGGGGCGGGGCGGGGCGGGGCGCGGCGGGGCGGGGCGGGGCGGGGCGCGGCGGGGTGCTGCGGCGATTCCGGAGCAGGCCGCCGTCGGAGGGACCCCGTCGTCGTGTCTCCGCTCACACCGGAATAGCGACGACAATGGGCGATTCGAGTTGATGGCGGTCGAGGCCCAGAAGGCCCAGAAGGTCGAGGGGGTCCACGCCGCGCCGCCGCGCCCAGCGCGTTGCTCTAGTTCACGGCCGCGTCGTGCGGCGCGGTCGGGACGCTCGTCGCGTAATGGCTTACATGAACCTCTTTCCGGATGCACCCCGCGAAGGACGATCGCCCGCACGCGGAGCGACGAGTCGAAGGGCCTTCCTGGGGTCAACAAAACACGCCGTCGAAAGAAATGGTGGCCGAAAGTGTGTCACTCGAGGTGTCACAGCCATTCCATTCCATTCCATGTCGTGTGCTGTTTGCGACAGAGCTCTGCTTTTGTCGGGCGTGCGCGGCCGAAATATCCATCTCACCAAGGACGCCCCGCCCCGCCCCGCCCGACACGCTAAGTGTGCTATCGGCATGCTTTCCGCGGCCGCGTCGCCGCCAATGAGATTGATAAATCGCAGCTTCCAGTCCCATTAGCATGCGCAGTGCGCGCTCCGTCTGTCTCGCGACTCGTGGGGCGTCCACTGTGGGAGCGAGAGAGACGGAGCGACGAAACGAAACTCTGCGTGGAATCCGCGCGGTGTGCCGGAGCTGCAGCGCCGCGCCGCTGGACCGAGACCCTCTCTCTCGCACTCGTGGCGCGTCGCGGCGTCGCGTGTAGGAGCGAGAGAGACGGAGCGACGTCTGCCGGAGCGCCGCGCCGCTGGACCGGGCCTCTCCAGTGAGTCAGCAGGGACGCGGCGCGGTGCGGCGCGGTGCCCAGGGTCAGTGTCTCCGGCACACCTGTGGAGCGGGTGGGGGGAGGGGAGCGGTTACCACCGTCTGCCACCACCAAAACGGCCACCTTCTCCAGCGCGCCGCCGTGCCGCCGCCCCCTGCACCACCACCACCGCGATGCAGCGTCGGTGCGCGTTCCCGGACTGGCCCGGGGCGGCGGGGCGTCCCGTCGGGGGTAGGGGCTCGCGGACGGCCGACGGGGGCGTCGGGGGGCGAGAGATTTGGAGGCGCGGGTCGCGGAGGTATATAAGCGAGGTGGCGGCGGCCGGGGGCAACAGTATCCGAGCAACGCGCCACGCAGCGCACCCGCAGCCGCCATGAGGATCGTGTGTGTGTTAGTGGTCAGTGTCTGTGTGTGTGAGAGTGAGTGTGTGTGTGTGTGCAGCAGCAGCGAGGATAACCCACGGGATTACGCAACAAAGTGGATCGCTGAAACGATCGCAACGACTGAAGATTGAACTTTCCATCAAATCGATCTATCACTTTGACAATAAGTTATCAAGTCACTTTTCAATAAAAACAAATTCCCGTTGAATTTCATTGTCATTCAAGACATGATCTGACAATTTTGGCATTCAAGGAAATTCGAAATAAGAAATTTGTTACAGAAACGGCCTGAGAAATAATTTTTTTTTAATTGGCTGTGGAAAGTGAATTCCTCGAGTTTTGGTGAAGCTAGTTTTATTTTGTATAAATAATTTGATAGTTAAAAATTGGTAATTTTTGATGTGACTTGGGACCCAAAAAACATCCTTAAAACTTAAAGTTAAAGCAAGTCATAATACTGAAGTCAATTTTAAGATTTTAAGAATATAATTAAAACTTCAGCGTGACGGTGTCAACTAGCTTTTAATTTTTTTCGTTGGCGCTTCGCTTGGCATCTCATTTTACGCGCGCCACCACTACCGGGATGCGTCGTTGACGTCTTTGAGGAAGGCTGTGATGACGTCACGTTCCGCCTCCTGTTTCAGGTGGCGCTGGCCGCCGTGGCTGCGGTCCAGGCCTCGCCCGTCGACACCAAGAAGGCTGTGGCGGAGGCCAAGGCGGCCAAGGCGCCACAGCCGGCGGCCGAAGGGGTGGCGACGGAGAACAAGCGGAACAAGAAGAGGTACGTCTCCATCAAACAAAACATTTCTTCCCTAAACTGAGCTTGAAAGCTCACCGCATGTTATTTTTTAAAAATCCGAAACGCAACCTATGTTTCTTTCGGCGAGAGAAACGTCAAAAAATTTGAGGTCGTGATGGACCGGGCTTTGTAACGCTCCAGATACAGTCGAGAGGGCCGCTGGACGATGGGAAAAGGGGGGGGGGAGTTGCAACCGAAGAGCCATATGGTCTCACTGGTGCAACAGTGCGACACGCGAAAGGTAGCGACCACCGCGACGGTGCGTCGCCACCAGAAAAAAGGGGAAAACGTAGAAGAGACGCGTGGAGAGTTTGGCACAGTGTATCGATGAGCATCGCTTGCAGCGTGTGTGGATCTGGTCCGATATGGTGGTCGCCGTGTGGGCCGCGGCCGGGCCACCGGGTCAGGCTGGAAGGGAAGCTGCCGAGTGACCGGGGGCCCGCCCCGCCTCGCCCCGCCTCGCCCCGCCACCGGACCCGCTGGCACACTGGCACGCGACGTGTGGCTTGCCCGCTTGCGCCACCTGGCTGGCCCTTGCAGTGCAGGACGTCCCAGTCCCAGGGCCAGGTGACATTTGGACAAAGGCACGCGCCGTTGCATCTGGTTGCACCGGTCGTCTGCGGATTGCACTGACTGCACTGATTGCACTGATTGCATCGACGGTTGCTCTGATTGTTCGCAGCTTGGAGTGGGGCAGTGCTGACTTTGGCGGCTACGCCTCTGGCTTCAACTCGTACGACACCGGCCTCTCTCTGGGCGGCGGCTTCGGCGGCGGCCTCGGCGGCGGCTGGGCGGCCCCGCAGCAGCCCGAGGGCGTCTGGGAGAAGAAGCTCGTCTGGAAGACCGAGTGGAAGCAGATCTGGAGGACCGAGCAGAAGCAGATCTGGAAGACCGAGTGGAAGAAGACCCAGGTGCCCGTGGAGCGCGTGATCCAGGTGCCCGCCTGGAAGGAGATCCAGGTCCCCGACTGGAAGAAGGTGCAGGTGCCCGTCGAGAGGGTGATCCAGGTCCCGGACTGGAAGGAGATCCAGGTGCCCGACTACAAGGTGGTGCAGGTGCCCTACTGGAAGGACGTGCAGGTGCCCGTCTGGAAGGAGGTCCAGGTCCCCGACTGGAAGCAGGTGCAGGTGCCCGTCTGGGAGAAGGTCTGGGTGGAGGAGCCCTCGCACGGCTGGGGTCCCTCGCAGGGCCGCTGGGAGAAGAAGCTCGCCTGGAAGACCGAGTACAAGCAGGTCTGGCGCACCGAGAAGAAGCAGGAGTGGGTCACCAAGAAGGAGCAGGCCTACAGGGAGGAGAAGCACCAGATCTGGAGGACCGAGAAGAAGCAGATCTGGGTCAACAAGAAGATCCAGGAGTGGAAGGAGGAGTCCGTCCAGATCTGGAGGACCGAGAAGAAGCAGATCTGGGTGCCCAAGAAGGTCCAGGAGTGGAAGGAGGAGCTCAAGTCCGTGCAGGTGCCCGCCTGGAAGGAGGTCCAGGTCCCCGACTGGAAGCAGGTGACCGTGCCCGTCTGGGAGAAGGTGTGGGTGCCGCTACCGCCCAAGGCGCAGCAAGGCTGGTGGTAGTCGCCAGAGTCAGCGCTGTCAGCAGTCCATGATCTCCATCCCATCTGTACATACCGAAGCCAGTCACCGCCATGTCAAATACACAAACTACTTTTTAAGAAATCCGATCGCTACTTCTCTTTATTTTGTCACCTGCACCCTCCCATCCAACACTCAAATCGGCCACTCTGATAACCTCGAAAAGGAGCCTTTGCTTGGCAAACTGTGGCGAGATGATGACGTCATGCCCAGGAATGCCAGCAGCGGTCCGGGCTTCATGATCTGTGGCATCTCTGTGGTGCCCCGGTCAGGTCAGGTTGGACCCGTCGGCCTCAGCTGCTGGCCCGGGGGGTCAGCTGCGGAGCGATCTCAAACATCGCTTTGGCTGCTCTGTCTCTCTCGCACTCACGGGGCGCTTCGGACAGAGGGACAGAACAGCGCAGAATCAGCCAAGAACTCCAGAAAGGGGTGAACGTTACGTTAAAGCCACCGACTGGGAAGGGGAACGGAAAATACCAATGCGTTACGAGCAATCCCCCGTCCACGAGAAAGGTGGTAAAAGACTCTTTACCGAAAATGGCTGCAGCCTAGGAGCGATGGAAGGATCCTTCGCAGTGAGGCGGCAGGCCGGCCCCGGGCAAGTCCGCAACTCTTTGGCTGATGCATGCGCCCATGACGCCCATGCCGGTCACGTAGTCGCACCGGGGGCAATAAAACAGCCGTGCCGTGCCGTGCCGTGCCGTGCCGTGCCGTGCCGTGCCGTGCCGTGCCGGATCGGGAGGGGAAAGGGGAAAGGCGAGGGAAGGCAGAAGGCGAGGCGCATAGGTTCGGGCGAGGCCGCCACTGCACCGCTACTGCACCGCCACTGGGCGGAGATGGGACGGGGCGTCATTTAGAGGCGATCCTTTCTCCGCCTATCAGCCGCGAGATAGCCCCGCGCCAAGGGTGGAAAACAACAACAACAACAACAACAACAACAACAACAACACTGCAACAACATGGTTACTGTATTCAAACGGAGCGCGGACCATCAACACAATACTGCAATGATTTCGCTGTCTTTTCCACACGAGATTTCATTCCTCCTAGAAAAACTTAAGCGTGACGACTGCACCCTTGCCTTGGGTGAAGCATCAAAGACAAGAATTTCCGCAGAGGGAATCCTAATCTGACCGGAAGGACCCGTGTCTGTCGCGCTCGAAAACAAAGGGCCACACTGCAGCGCTTTGGTTTGACCAGTGTCGTGGCCGGCCTGGGCCAGCCTTCAGCGCGGCATGGCCAGGCATTGCTGGCCCTGCTTGTTTCATTTCACAACGAGGCGATGACTAGTGGTCCTCCCATTAATCCGGCCTGGCCTGGCTGTGCCGCGGTGACCATGGTCAAGCGGACTCATCGTATCCATTTATCACGTAACGCCTCGCCTTTCCTTTCGCCCGGAGCGGTGAGCAGTGAGCGGACTGGCTCCGCGTTTCGGCGGGACTTTTCAAACGCCGCGGCGCTGGCTCGCAAGGTTACGGCAGTCGTTTCGTCGCTCTGCCTCTCTCGCACTCACGGGGACCATGGGGCTCTCCGTCAGGGTGCGAGAGAGACAGAGCGACAAACCGATCCTCTGAATCGCTCGGCAGGTTATGGCCCGTCCATAAATTACATCGCTCCTTAGCGGGGTCCGGGGAGGGGTGGTGCCAGCGTAACTACGATCTACGTGGGGAGGGGAGGGGATGGAGGCTACACTGCGAAAGGGAGTTCGGTCAACCGGGTGTAGTTTTAGCATTGACGCCCTGCAGATAGACACGGCGTCTCTCTGTCTCTCTCGCACCCGTGGGGCGCTCCGTCGGTGTGGGAGGGAGACAGAGAGCGAAGGGGCACCATTCGAAATCAATCCGCTGACCGGTGACTCGTCAATAGTGGTTCGTGCCGCTCTGCGTGCCGCGCCGCGCCGATGGATTTGCATTAAAAGGAAGGAGCGCTCGATAGCCGAATCACCGCGCGCCACGCACCGACAAATAATTCAGCCGCCACGCCGTGCCACGCCGCGCCACGCCGCGCTGCGTCCATGGTCCCGGCGACTCGGTGGCGCCCTCTGCGCGGGGACGCCGGCAACCCGCGCCGCGCCGCGCCGCGCCATGTCGCGCACGGCCCCCAGTCCCAGTCCCGGTGCCGACGTTCCGGCCTGAAATAACCCCAGTCGTCGGGCCGGTGGGGAGGGGGCGGTCAGCTGTGGGGGCGCCGCGTCACACCCCACCCCGCCCCGCCCCGCCCCGCCGCGACGTTCCCGGCTCGCTGGCGGGCGGGGCGGCCGGGGCGACCGGCGTCTAGTTGGCCTGGGGGGCGTCGCGGCGAGGGCACGGCGCCGGGCCTGGCCTGAGCACGCGTGGAGCACGGCGTGGAGCACGGCGTGGAGCACGGCGTGGAGCACGGCGTGGAGCACGGCGTGGAGCACGGCGTGGAGCACGGCGTCGCCACGCCGTCGGCCGTCCGCGAGGCGCCGCCACCACGTGGATGTCCGCGGCGAGGCACGTGCGCGAACACGTGGGCGTGGGCGGGGCACCGGCGGGGCACCTGAAGCAGCGGCGGCAGCAGCAGCGGCGCGGTAGCAGCAGCGGCGGCGGTGGCGGTGGCGGCGGTGCATGACAGTGGTGAGGTCAGTGATCCGAGAACCTGGCAGCCCGTCGGGTCGGGGTAGTGCGCCGGCACGCTGATACCGCGCCGCGCCGTCGTCGCCCTGTCTCTCTCGCACCCTTGCAGCCGCGGAACACCCGCCGAGAGCGAGAGAGACAGAACGACCCAACGTCCGCGGAATGCGCCTGGCGGGTAGGCCCGCCAACCTGCAGACGCGTTCTGCGGAGGGTAGCGGTAGCCACGCGGTAGCCACGCGGTAGCCACGCGGTAGCCCAAGGCAGGTTACTCCCACCCTCCCCGAGCGCCGCCTGTTGTGCGCGTGTTTGTGTGTGTGCGACACTTTAAGACTAGAACAATGCCGCCGCGCGGACACTAATATAATAGGCCCCTAGAGCACCGTTGTACTACACAGTAACGTTTCTAGCTTGGAAAAAAAATATCCCCCTCGAGAAGATTTATTTATAATCCGCAGTGGATGTTGCTGTATTTTTTGTGAACGCAGCGTTGCACGAGTTGCACGTGTGTGTCACAGTGTGGCGGCTTTCAGCGCCGCATCCGTTTGCTTTTATTCTCTCGACGAAAAGGGAAACGAGAAAATAAAAAACATTGCGAAAAAGAACGGCCCCTTGGCGGCAACGTGAGCAGACGCAGAGATGACACGGGGCGCTGTTTTTGGACACTCATATGCATACGTATACACACTCACACATACACACACACACACATCGTTTTGATCGGGCATTGTTTCGCCATTTCCATGCCCCACATGTTGACATGCGGCGCGAAAACCACCAATGAGAGTTCACCGGCCTGTCGCCTCCCCCCCCCCCTCCCTCTTTCCCGCCGTCGCCGTCCTCACCCAAAACATCCATCCCATCCCACTGCGACCAAAACATAACGCGCGAAGGCGCGCGGGCCTTGTCGCCAGGGCCGTCAGCACGAGGAGAGGATCCCCAGTCCCTCTCGACTGCCATTTTCAAACTCGCATCTTTCCTTTCCCTCCCGTCTCTCGCAGAGAAAACAAAACGTCGGCTTCCATCATTGACTGTCCGTCGGCCAAGCTGCTGCCGCTCCGGCGCTCCGGGTTCGCGGGCCGCAGTGCCGGTCCGGAGCATTTCTTTCGGGCAGAAGCATTTTCCTGCCAGGAGCATTTCTTCTGGGCGAGAGCATTTCGAAGCCCGCTCGATCTCCGTGCGAATAGCGCCCCCGCCGTGAGCTTATCGGCAGGCTGCCTATAGCACCGCCTGGCCTATCGACACGACGCGTCCAGAAGGCAGAGGGAGACGGCTGTCTCGTCTCGCCGGCCTTCCGGCGGCGTGGCGGCGTGGCCGTGAACGGCATGCTTGTAGTGCAGCTGACTCCCAGGCCACTCCCCCGCCCACCCTTCGGCCCCGCCCCGCCCCGCCCCGCCTCGCCTCGCCCCGCCCCGCCCCGCCCCGCCCCGCCTCGCCTCGCCCCGCCCCGCCCCGCCCTGCGCGTAACGGAGAAACAGACGTCCTATATTGATCCTGTCCGCGGCCTCCACGGCAAACAGTTTTGGGTAAAGGCGTCTCGTTTCGTCATGGCATTCCCGACTCGTCATACTCACTCGCTCCCACGAGGGGTAGGGGGAAACGGGGGGAGGGCTACCCGATGTCTCAATCAAGACGTCAATAGCGGGAGACTGCGGGAGAAGGAGGTCCTTGTTGTTGCAGGAACTCGTTAATGTAAGTACACGGAAAACAAACATTGCGCCCAGCTAAGAGCAAAATTTGATTGTTCAAGCTATTTTATCAGCGCTAAGCTCCTCGTCTTCTATCCGGAAATCGAATAAAATCTAATTTAATTTAATGAAAAATCCCCCGTGGAGATTCGAACCCGCGACCCGGGTGGAGGCGCCGCCTCCTGTGGTGTGACGGACAGCGCCGTGAGGTGGCGAGAGCGCGGTGTTGGCGGCATCGCCGTCGGCGCGTGGGGACGCGTGGCGGGGCGGGGCGTGGCGGCGTTTAGCCACCACACTGAGTGGCCCCTGTGCACAGCGTCCGCCGCCGCGGCTGCCAGAAAAACTCTTCTTTTCCGCGTCGAATTTGGGGCCGCCACGCCGCCCCCGCCGAGCCCGACAAGTGGCTCGCGCACCCGCCCCGCCTCCCCCGCCCCTCGCGCGCTTCGCTTCGCGTGACGCCGCCCCGGCCGGGCAAGCCCAGGCAAGCCCAGGCAAGCCGGGCACAGCAGGTGGAAACGGGGAAGGGGTAAACGGGCCGCGGGCTTCCGTCGCCCCGTCTCTCTCGCACTCGTGGGGCGGGAGGAGGTGCGGGAGAGACAGAGCGACGAAAGCGGTGTTCGGAACCGCCGAGCCGCGGGGCTGTGGGGCTGCGGGGCTGCGGGGCACCCTGCCTGGGGCACTGGGCCAGGGCGCCACGCCGCGAGTGAGCAGTGACCCCGAGACTCATAACCAAGGCGATCGGATCGGCACGCCAGTGTGGATGCCAGGGGCGGGCGGGGCGGGGCCCGGTGCCAGGCAGTCGCTCGGCGGTCTCCTCGTCCTCGTCACTCCCACCGGTCGACAGTGAGAGCGACAGGGGCAGAAGACACGGCGGTCGTCTTCTTCGAACGCAGCCGCGCGGCACAGGGATGGTCTCGGACAATTGCCCCAGCCAGTGCACTTGTCGTCGGCAGGGTGACTTGTGACTGCGTGCTCCCTCAAGTCTCTACAAAATGATGGCGAGACGACGCGAGTGAGGAACTGGCCGAAAGCGAGGCCGCTACTCACTACTCGCGAAAGGGCGTGTTTGTTTGGTTGCCGCGCTGTGTCCACAGTGTACACACACAGAGATGGAGTCGCCCCGGCGCGCGAAGTAAACACAGGCCGGCCCGCGGGGAGGTCGCCGTCGTATGGGTGCGAGAGAGACAGAGCACTGCGGGAGGAGGTCCACCGCGCCCCGTCCACCCCACCGTGAGTGAGCAGCGCGCCGCGGCGGCAGGGCGGCGTCCAGAGGCGGCAAGTCCTTAAGTTGAACGAGGATCGCACCAGTTAAAAATACGCCGAGTCGTTGGTGAGCCGCCAGTCGGGGGAGGGGAGGGGGGGGGGGCGGCAGGTAGTGCGCGGCGCTGTCCCGCGGGAGGGGAGGGGAGGGGAGGGGGGGGCGGCAGGTAGTGCGCGGCGCTGTCCCGCGGGAGGGGAGGGGAGGGGGTCCGTTGCGGAGGTGCAAGTGCAGGCCGACGCCGCCGACGCCGGCGGCCCTCTCTCCACGCGCAAGACGCAGCCGCGCAAATCAACATTGAAGGAAATCATTGCGGTGTAGTGCCCGCGCGCGAGCGCGGATTTTAACAAACAAATTCGCGTGACGGCGGTGTTTACACCGGCGGCGGGCCGACTGACGCAGAGGAGTCGCTTCGTCGCTCTGTCTCTCTCGCACCCGAAGGGACGCCCCGCCCCGCGATGAGTGCGACAAAGACGGGGCGATGCAACGAATCCTCGCCCGCCGGCCGCGTTGGCAGGGTGGCGGTGGCGGTTCCTAGTTCCGTGCCGGGGGCGGTGCCGGGGGTTGTTTACGCTGCTCGGCCGCCTCAGCCGCCAAGTCTGTCGCGTGCCGGCGACCGTCGCTAAACACCGGGACGCAGCCAAAGTCACTCTGATTTGCGTAGCGGTAGAGAGACGGCGAGAGAGACGGTACGACAATGCCCCGTGAGCACAGGTGGTGGCGAAGCCCTCCAAGGCACCCAGGCCCGCCCCACCCCACCCTGGGGCCCACACTGCGTCGCTGCGTCCTTGTTCGTGCTTACGGGGAGTCAAGGACCCCCGGTGCGCCTGTTGCAGGACGTTCACGACAAACGCGCAGTTTGCATGTATTGCGTGCAGGCGAGGCGTGAGTTTTGGACACACGCATACCTGCGCAGTTTTGTCACGTGTGCTGAAAGTTCGTCTCCTCCTCGTGCATGTGTTGGGCCACACTGCAAAACCCATATCAAGTACTGGCGCTTACTGGCGTCTTAACTCGTAACGCAAATTGGGTGACAGAAGAACCACTTCGTTCATTACAACGTGTCGCAGAGGATGTTGCTGACTGACTCTCATACGGTTCGTTTTTTGTTGTTTTGCAGGGGGGTGGGACTCGGAACTCAAATTGGATGGCGACGCCGCGGTGCTAAGCCGAGTCGAGCCTCGTTCCGGACTAGGCTGCGGGGCCGCGGGGCTGCGGGGCTGCGGGGGCCTCGTTGGGGGCATGGAGAGTCGGCGACACCGCCAGGCACGGCCGCAGCGCTCGTGCCGCTCGTGCCGCCCGCAGCGCAGATAGTTGAAGGTGAGGTTCGAGGCTCTGCCGCGGGCCGCGGGAACAGGGTGGTGGTGGTTGGGTTGCCTGCCCGGCAGGCGCCACCGCCTGGAGCTGGAAAGCACCCAAGCCTCCTCGTTGCCTGTTCCAGCTTCCAGCCCTCCAGGCCGCCCGCCCTCACCATGGCGTTGGTGATGCTGCCATGCGACGTGCCCTGGTGGCCGACGCTCGTCAGGCACCTGCAGTTCATCGGCGAGGCCAAGAACCCCGCGGACTTCGTGGAGGGCATGCTCAAGATCCACAGCATGTGCAAGTAAGGCGCGGCCGGTGTCTGCTGCCGACTTGGACAACGCCGTGACTGTTGTTGTTATTGTTGTTGTTGTTTTCCAGCGTGGGGCTGGACCCCGACGAGCCGGAGCGTCCCGACCAGACGGTGTTCGAGGGCCTCAAGCGGTTCCTGGACGAGGTGGACGCGGCCGAGCGCGACCACTTCCTGCAGCACACGGGGCCCGCCATGGTGCGGCGCGCCCTGGACCTCAAGAACCTCAAGCCCGCCGGCGGGCTGCACTTCAGTCTGCAGCAGCAGGGTATGTACTTTTTAGGAAGCATTCAGTTTTGCTTTAAATGTAATTTTGCGTGCGTCATCATTTATTTTTATTTTTTTTATTTTTTTGCAGGGGACCACGTTGAGTACGACAGGCCCTTCGTCGCCAGCCTGCTCGCACACGCCTTCTTCTCTTCCTACCCGAAGAGGACCCCAAAGACTCACCCAACTCTACAAGACTGCAACTTTTCCATGTTTTTCAAGAATTTAGATCAGTAAGCACGTATTCATTGTTCAATGAAGACCTCTCCAACAATTTTTGCTTGTTTGTTACCTCTCGAGTGGGTGCGTTCCCTTGTTGCAGAAAGTGCCAAAGAGCGAAGTTGAGAAGTATCTGGAGGTACTTCGACGAAATGGAGCTGGAGACAGCGCCGACTGAAAAAGTTGTGATATCGAGAGAAGTGAGTATAGGCTCGGGGACCGTGAATGCTGTGCGGGGGGAAATGGATAAACTTTCAGGGTGGAAGTGGCATTGTGCATCTTGATCCACGTGGCGCTCCTTGGTGGCTGGACTGACGCCTCTTTGGCGGCCCGTGTTGGCGGCCGGTGCACTGTGCAGGTCATGACGGGCAGAGAGTGGCTGACCATCGAGGACTGGCTGGAGTGCGGGCTGCCGCTGTGCCCGCTGGCGGTGCGCCACGAAGGACGACTGGAGCGCGCCGAGCCGTCCGCCCTCAGGGTGTGCTTCTCCAACAGCAGGCTCGGCGGCGCGGCCCTCGAGGACGGCTCCTCCCAGGTACACTACACTGTGGCCCCGTCTCGACCCCGTCGCCCCGTCGCCTAGCAACCGCACGTCCGACACACTCACAAACACACACCCCTTCCTTTCGCTAGAGATGAACCAGCAGGCTGATTCCGGGAGTCGTTTTCGTCGCTCTGTCTCTCTCGCACCTGGACGGCACGCCCCGCGACTGCGAGGAGACAGAGCGACGAAAAGGACCCTCGGGATCAGTCTGCAGGGCGACCGACACGGCGGTGTTTTGGTCGCACTGGCCCTCCAAAGGTGCATGCCGCGTTCCGCAGGAGGCGGTGCAGTACACGACGTGCCCCGAGCTGGTGGCCGTGCTGCTGCGGGTGGAGGCGCTGGAGGACAACGAGGCCCTCATCGTGGAGAACCTGCTGCAGGTGTCGCGCATCGTGGACCCCCGGCACCGCGCCACCTTCGAGCCCGTCACGGGCGGCGTGCTGGTGAGCGCTCTTAAGCCCCTTGCAAGCATCAGGCCTTACGAAAAATTGAACCCCGTGTTTCACGTTTTGACAGCTGGCAGTGTGCTGTCTGGACCCCGAGAACTACCGCCGGCTGCCGCTCAGCCAGTTCGAGGAGGACAACGTGCTGCGGGAGCTCAACAAGGCCCTGCTGGGCTTCCGGCAGCACCGCTGGGTCTCGCCGCCGCAGCCCGCCGCCCCCGACGGCGGCCACGCGCACCGGGACCACCACCAGCGGCGCCTCTCGCCCATCGGGGAGTCCTTCAGCTCGCAGCAGTCCGACGCCAAGGAGGTGGGTGCAGCGGCGCAGCGCAGTAGCCGACATCGGCGAGATTTACAAGCCGTATTCAAGAAGGAACATAAACATAAAAGTTAATCGCAAAATGATGGTTACGAGTATCGCGCACCCACGATGACCTCACTGCCCACAGCCCCACCAAGACCAGGCCTCGTCGCGGGTCCGCGCCGCGCCGCGGGGACGCTCCAGCTCGCCTTCGCGGCCGCGCGCAGGCCGCGGTCCACCCCAGGGTCCCGGACGACCGCCGCGGCAGCCGCGCCGCCCCAAGGCCGCCGCCAACGCGGGGCCTCCCCCCACCACGGGGGCGGCGGCGGCGGCGGCGCGCCGCGGCCGCTTCATCGTGCTGGGCTCCTCGGGGGAGTGCCTGCCGGTGAGCAGGCGGAAGATCATGACGGGCGGGCTGGGCCCCGCGGTGCAGCCCAGGGCCCCGTCGGTGCCGCGAGGCCAGGCCGCGAAGGACGCCGGCAGCGACGACAGCGACGAGTTCCACAGCGCGCAGTCCAGCCCGGAGCGCAGCGAGGGTGACGTGGACGAGGACGGCGCGCGGAGGTACAGCGCCGAGCTCGACTCGCCGCAGCGGAGGACGGCCTTCGCCGAGCGCCTCCGCGATGCCCTTCGCAGAGAGGCCCTCAGCTCGCACAGCGAGGACTCCAGCTACGCCGTCGGCATCACCGTGGCCGGCACGGGGCTCTCGGACGAGGACATCCGGCTCCGGCGCGGTGGCTCCCGCGGCTTCATGCTGGACGACTCCGTGTCCGTGGAGAGCTACACCGCCCCGCCGGTGCGGCGCGCGCTCGCCCCCAAGCTGCAGCGCTCCGGCTCCTCGATGTACAGCTTCGACACGGAGCTGAGTTCCGGTTAGTGCTGTCCGCCGCGCACTTGGTGTTCCCGTCCCTGTCGACGCCACTGTACCTCTGTCTCTGTCTCAGACGTGGAGGACGCGTACGAGGCCTACGAGCAGTTCGGCCGCCTGCTCGAGGACCACCGGTCGTCGTCGGGCAGCCGCTCGCACTCGTCGGAGGGGCCGGACCGCGACCTGGCCGTGGCGCAGTTCGCGAGCCGCCTCCTCAAGCGCACGCTCAGCGACTCGTTCGCCGGGGTGCAGCTCGGCGACGGCCTCCTCGGCGACGGCCTCCTCGGCGACGACGACGTGGTGCTGCCGCGGCGGAAGCTGCCGCCCCTGCTGGCGGGGGCGTCGCTGGGCACGTCGGCGGCCTCGGTGGACCTGGAGGGCGCCTCGGCCACGGGGACGGGCCGGCAGCGGCACCTCAAGCTGGCGCACATCGCGAGGAGCATGAGCCTGGAGCTCGCCAAGCACCGCCACCGCCTGGCCAGCCAGCTCGTACGTGCCCCCTCCCCCCTCCCCGTTTAGCGATCCCGAAATGCGCTTCGTCGCCCCATCTCTCTCGCACGCCCCACGAGTACGAGAGAGACAGGTCGACGACACCGGCGGCTCGTGTTTTCGTTTTTACTGCGTTCTTGTTGTTGTTACCCGCTGCGGTCCTTCCTCCAGGTCCTGCAGCTGGAGGCGTCCCTGAGCGGGGAGCACACCGGGGCCGCGGGGTCGGGCATGCGCGCCGTGGCCTCGGGGAACTGGGGCTGCGGCTCGGAGCGCGCGGGCGACCCGCAGCTCAAGCTCATCATCCAGTGGCTGGCGGCCAGCGTGGCCGGCGCGCCCTGCCTGGTCTACTACACTTGCGGCCACCACAAGCTTCTCAAGGTAAGGCAAGCGACTACAAATTGGGGGACAATAAATGTAGGCCTTGTTTGTGTTTCGGCGATTGTGACGAGAGAGCCTCTGAAGGCGGCCTTCCCTACAGGCCTGTCTGTAGATGCACGAGGGGTTGCCTGCCTGCCGGGCGCCCGTGGCACAGGACTCCAATTGGGAGGTTACCTTATTTTAATTTGGTGTCAAGTTGATGTCTCTCCATACAACGAAAATTATATTCCATCCTCCCTGACTAGTTGTTGAGTTATTTCACCCGTTTGGTTTGTGTCCCTCTGTTTCAGTTGGACACTATCTGCAGAATAGTTCTTGACCGACACTGGACTGTCGGTGAGCTGGCGGAAGCTGCCCTAGGATTTGCTCAAACCTGCCTTGACAGCCCCAGTCCACCCAACTCAGGACAAGCTCTGTTTGACGCTCTACTTGGGGTGGAACGATAATAATTTATGTGTTGTTCTTATATAAAAAAATGTCTTTGTGAAAAATCGGACTTTGTAATTTTTTCACTATGAGCATTCCCTACAGTGTCTAACACTAAAATGCTGTGACCACAGATTAAGCCACATTTCAAAATGAATTGGAGTACAGGAGACTTGATAAACATAATCAAAGTGATCACAACTATCAAACAGATTTTATTCATCATTATTACAGTTTTCAAATATTTTAGTGGACAAGTTCTATTGTTAGACAGAATCATCAGATCCAGAAACTGAAAAACACTGGGAAAACACAAAAGTGATACTAGATAATTCTTTCCAGTACAATAGCATCTCCAATTTTTAAAAAAATTATGCAAGGTTACAATAACAATGCTGGGGGCAGAAGTTTGCTACTGAATTATTGATGTAGCAGTAACTTGCAAAAGTATCTAAGATCAGTCGTTTAGGGGAAGAACAAACCACGCATGCGTCGGCCAAGTCCAGCTCGGTCATACATTACATTAAATTTGTTGACATATTGGTTGATATCATTGCAGCATTTGGTTAATGCTCCAAGATACGTCATGAGAGCGACATCATTGCATTGCTGAGGAAAGAAAAATATCAAAATTAAGGACTGCACTTTGTAAACTAAAAGTTCAATAATTAAAAGTGAAATACTCACATTGTAAAAGTCACCCTTAAACTTAGGACTTTGCAAGACCGGCAAACGATTGCTCAGTGAATAAGCTTCCCTAAGAATTTCACGATTCACAGGCAGTTGGCCTGCTTCAACAGCTTTCACGTACTGCAGCACCAAACGTACTCTTGAGTGTAACATTTTGATGGCACTGTGCTGTGCTGACAAATGCTCTGCAACTAAAAAAAAAATATGAGTGAGCAACTGATTCATATCAGTATAATTTGACTTAATATAAAATATGTTACGTACCCAGAGAGCTCTCTCCTGAATCATTGCTAGACATCCTGGCAACATGATCTACACCAATCCTCTCAGCTTCTTCTGTAGCCAATGTGTATGGAATTTGAATAAATAGCATAGTAGCTTCCCCAGCAACCAGATCAATAACAGATTCGTACAATGTGACTGGAAGCTAACAAAGGAAAAAAGAAATATATATTCAGGTGTATTCATTTTATGCTAAAATTGTGATTAAGTTTATGATATCTGTCCTGGCCTCTATACTTACATCAGACTGTCTAGAATTAGGATTAAGCTTTAAAAACACCGGACTCTCATTTATTTCACAAATTTGTTTGTGCACCTTGATGTCATTCTCATCTGCACCCTCTCCTGTTGTATACCAGCCCAAGAAGTCATGATCACTAAATACTTGTTTAACTGAAAAGAGAAAGGAATGAAAATTATCATGGGGACATGAAGATGAATGAATATACATGTGTAATAGAGACTGGTCTCCTTACATTGCTCCTCCTTTGTATTGTAATATTCTCTGTCAATAACAATATCACCAACTGGAGCAGTACATTTGGTCTCCTCTTCACCAAATGTGCTACCACCAATGGTGAAGTTCAATTCAAAAGAATTCATTATCTCAATGTTGCGGCCTTTCTGCTTTCCGATGAGGGCACCAATGACTGCAACAAACAAACAATTTGGGATTAGTAAAGAAAGAGCCAGCAATGCCTGAATGCCTACTAATTTCAAACATGAATCAAAACTAAATTAAAATAGTGTGTTCATCCTGGCAGGCTACAGCTCAGATTGAGATCTTTCTCGGATCGTTGCTGGACCAAATGCCAACCCAACTGCGGCAAGTCTGTAAGGAGACTGACCACTCTGACAGCAGTCTGTCAAGACGCAGCCAAGTGCCAGGGGGCGTCGACGCGAGCCAGGACCAACGCACAACCCCGTGGAAGACGCAACCACCACCAGGAAAGCCAGGAGCAGCGAATGAATGCCACAGTGAGGTTAGGGGCCGTCGCCTAGGCCTCACCTTGCTGGGCCTTGCCCTCCTGGGCCCTGATGCGGGTCCAGTGCTCCGAGATGTTCATGATGACGAGGGGGTGCAGGTGCGCGGAGACGCTGCCCGCCGCCACCGACGAGGCCATCACGCTCTTCCCGGTGTCATCCACCTCCATTTGTTCGGTGTCGGGGTCCGTCTGCTGTCGCGAGCTGGAGGGGCCGGCCGCCGCGGCGCTCATCTTGACGACGGGTGGGATTTCCTTGCCTGCGGACTACTCTGGCACGCTGGCTGTCGACGACGCGTCGAACGCTCAACTCTTTGCGGTAAATGTCACACGCAAAACATGTAATCATAGGCCGAACGCCAACCTTGCCGCAAACGCTCCAGAAACAAACATCAACAACACGCACCGCCCTCCACGACTGTCGCCGCTCACAGGCAGAGAACTGAGAACGGGCGAGAGTGCGTCGCGCCACCGCTAGATGGCGGGGTGAGCAGGTTTCCCGGTGCTGCACGTTGGGTGGCCTACTCCCTCGGCCGCAGGCGCTCCCCGCCGCGCCGGGGAAGACCAGAGGAGACGCGGAAGGATCAAGGATTCCTCGCGCTATCTCAAATCGATTCAAGCTTTCAGGCTTCCGCGCAGCTTTCCGAAGTGATGCAGCGCTCCATTACTGCCTGGGCCATTATTCGAGTTATCCAACAGTGGCTCGGTTCACTTGAAAGTCGCCTCGTGGATCCGAGGCAAGGCGGGCAGTACGCGGCATTTCGTGTTCGTGGCGTTCGTTCTTTCTTTCTTTCTTTCTTTCTTTCTTTCTTTCTTTCTTTCTTTCTTTCTTTCTTTCTTTCTTTCTTTCTTTCTTTCTTTCTTTCTTTCTTTCTTTCTTTCTTTCTTTCTTTCTTTCTTTCTTTCTTTCTTTCTTTCTTTCTTTCTTTCTTTCTTTCTTTCTTTCTTTCTTTCTTTCTTTCTTTCTTTCATTCCTCAGGAATAGTGTTGGAGGCGGCTTTACCAAGCCGTTGATCGAAATGGCCTAGTCAAGGTCCCTCCTCTCGTCGATATTCAGCCCCTCCTCTCCGAGCCTCTCCGAACCCGCATCTCCGTGAGGACATGCGTCCGCCTGCGCCAGCACGCAACGCGTCCGCAGAGTGCGTACACCTGGCACACCGTACACACGACGTTCTGTGTGCGTTGTAGTACGAGCGTGGCGGCCCGCTCCACGCCTTGGGAACAATCTGCTAATCAACGGCGTAGCGTGGCGTCTCCGCATAACTCTGCCCCGTAAGAGTGTCTCGAGGCGTGGCGAGGCGAGGCGTGGCGGCGCGTGGCGGCGCGAGATATTTGGTGCCTGTCCAAACGGCTGGCATTGAGACTCCAGAATGACGCCGCGAAGCTGCGAAGCAGAGCTGTTATTTTTGTTTTCGTCGTCGCCTCCGTGCTTCGCGCCTTTCCGAAGAGAACCACAACAACAATAACATGAACCAGAGCGACTGGTGGCCTATCCGAAGTGCCCGGCCCCCCGGCCCGGCCGGCCTTAATGACAAAGCCTCGAGTGGTCCAGAGTTGGGGAAGGAAGTAGGTGTGTGTTGTTTCCGCTTGGCCGTTGTGTTGCATCAAGGCCACGATGCTGATCGGAGTCGAGAGGGGGAGGGGGAATCTGATTTGGAAGGGGGGGGGAGCACGGACTCACCCACGCGGCCCGCTCGCGGTGCCCCCGCACCATGCCGCCGTGCCCGGCCACGCCGCGCCGCATCGGCAAGGCGGCACACTGTGCGCTCCGCGCCACGTCACTGTGATTATGTCCTTCCCTGCGGTAACGGGGTAACGGGGCGACAGCAACGACGAAAACAAACACAGCTGTCTATCTCTATCTCTGTCTCTCGCACTCATGGGGCGTACCGTGTGTGTGCCAGAGAGGTGGGCACTCCCGGTGGGCCGCTGGCGTGGACAGGTGTGCCTACCCAGCCGCGCGCTGTGGGACTTGGGCAGCCCTGGGCGACACAGAGAAGGACGCAGCCAGGCTGCCTTGTCATAGCGCACGTAGCAACGGCTGGGATGGGACCGCTGGGACCGCTGGGCTACGGCTATGATAACCTCCGATTCGCATCTGCAGAATCGGCAAAGGCCATCGGAACCTTTAGTTTGTTTTCTTTACGGGTTGTTTTATCGCTGCATTTTTTTGTGTCGCCCGTCTCGTGGCCGCGGGTGGCGGTGGCGGCCTCTGTGTCCCCAATTCCATTTCCAGTGGAAACACCATCGCGTCCCGCGCGCCCCGCGCCAACAAGCAGACCAAGCCGAGGAGCTTATCGCTAGCGGAAGCGGAACAGCGAAGCAGCGAAGGGCCCCTCGAACCTCCGAGCGAGTCCCGGGTCCGCGTACGTGGGAACCCTTTCCTGCTTGCTCTGCTCTGGCTTGCTCCCGATTTCGGCGGCCCGGGCGGGGCGGGGCGGGGCGGGTCCCGGCGCACGCCTCGTCGTACCCGCCGCCTGCATTTCGATCCTTTCAGTCCCGTTGCCGCTCCTTGAACCTGCTGCTCCGCGGCGGAGGACGGCCAACGCCCGCCTCGCCCCGCCCCGCCCCGCCCCGCCCCGCCCCGCCACGCCCTGCTCCAGCACTAGGCCCCTCGGTTACGTCGGCGCCGCTGCACCGCGTTGTTTGGAGCCACCGGGTCCGTCCAGCACTCGGTCCAGCAGCAGTCCGATTCCTAAGAGGCCCAGCGCCCCGCCGTGGCCGCGGCCAGTCGGCGGCGTCCCCGGCAGTTCGAAAAGTTCCGCGGCGCCCCGCTCGGCCGTTCGGCCGTCCGGCTGCGGCCATGCGGCACTGCGGCCGAAGACCCCGGTAGCTCGCAGTGGCTCGTTACTCGCGACGCGCAACGCGGCAACGCGCATGGCGTACATGTGTGACCTACATCGGCGGCGAGACCTTGAGGCGGGGCGTGGCGGGGCGTGGCGGGGCGTCGTGAACCAGGCGCGGAATGCCGTGTCGCGACTTCCCGACGCAGCGCAAGTGCAGCACTCGGCTGCTGCACCGTGTCCTGTCGCGCGGGGTAGCGACGACGCGGCACTTCCCCCGCGGTCGCGGACTCGCGGTGCATCGGGGGAAGGCGTGCTAGTGTCTCCGACGCGCGGGGTAGCTCTACTAGGCGACGCGCGCGCCAGGCTGCCCCAGGGCGCACGGCGGCAGCCCCAGCCCCACCTGTTGAACCCCGATGACGCGGGGTGGAGACAAGCAGACGCCGTCGTGGTCGCCACGGCCGCCTCGGCCGAGGGCAGGATCGGGTGGGTCGCGAAGCGGGGAGGAGGGGGAGAGGGAGGGGCACCACTACACTGCGTTCACTCCGTTACCCAAAGGTGCCGTCATGGATTGCATCTGGACGCGCCAGACAAGTTTGGCTGGTTCGGCCGGGCGCGGCGGCGCGGCGGCGCGGCGGCACGGCCCGCGTTCGCTGCTGCTGCGTGCACGCACCTCACCGGCAACGCCACGCTCCGTAGCCGTCTTCAGTTCGGGCAGTTTAGGACAGGACGCCTTGCAAACAGCAAGAGCCTCATTGGTTGGACAGGACGCCTTCCCTTCCCCCTAAAAAAACAATTTTATTCCAACTTTATATGTTTTGTTTTTTGACGGTGGAGACGCAAGAGATGCGCTTTAGTCACTTGTCGTATTTTCCGCTCGAGTCGCCGCTTCGCGGGTGCTTGGCGGTCCCGCTGCGTGCCGCGAGCATGCTTCGCGGCGTCGCGTGCCATCCCGCCGAAAGCGACGCCAGCGGACGCGAGGTGACCCGCCCCGCCCCGCCCCGCCCGTGGGAAAACGGTCGTACAAACTCCCGGCGGACGCGGTTCAACACTTTTCAATGAAATATAACGCGGGAGGGGGGAGGGGCACTTGCCAGCCGCGCAAACACCGCAAACGCCGGCCGCCAAAAATACACGCCCCGCCCTGCACTGCCCTGCACTGCCGCGCCCCGACCCGCGACCTCATGCCGTGCTGAGGGCCCTGCGGGGCGAAGACGAGGGCGGGGTTGGCGGAGAAACGTAAACGCTGTGGTCGGAGCGATGCGGTGCGCAGCTGCATTTTTTACCGCTGCCGTGTCATCAATGAAGGAATCCGGGGAGGGCCGCCGCCGCCGTCGCGTGCCTCCTTGCATGTGTGTGGGAGGAGGCGAATACATAGTGAGCGAGTGCATGCAGGGCGTGATATCTAGGTTAATCTACCAACCCCCGCACACGCACTCGTACCCACACTGTTACACTACACACACACGCTTCTTTTATTTGAGGACCGCATAGTTGGGTTGCGTGGCGCAGTTGGCGTCGTCCGTATTGATTCAGCCGCGGCGAAAGAAGAAAACAAGGAGGACAGATTTGCGACTTCGCCACTCCGAACGCGAATAAGTGATTGAACTAATGGTGAGGCGTTGTCAGCTGCGGGCGCCTGGCGTAGCCTTGCGGCGAGCGTTGTTGCGGGCAGCGTGGGAAAGTTGCGGGCGGTGGAGAAGGCGGTGGCTCAACGTTGGCAAACGAGGCGGGGGCGGCTTACCATTACAGCTTGCGGTATCGTCTGTCGATACAGTGTATCGACATCGACCGACACGCATACGCCGTGTTCGACAAACGGGGTCGAAAATCGTCGCAGGAAAAGTCGGACTCTTGTGACTGAACTTTGCTCACCCAAATGCCCGAATTCGTGTCGTAAAAGTTAGGCTCAAAAAACGACGTGGTGTTGTGGAGAGTTGGCTAAATTTGGTTGGACTAATCAACGATGAGATTACCTTTTTCGGCTCTTGGGTGAGCTTTGGTGAGTCACTCTCGAATCGAGACAATCGAGACAATCGATCCCCACAAGCACCTCGACTCGGCGCACAGATTACGGCCGATGCGTGGACGATTGGTGCGCGGCCCAAAGATAATCGTAAACGGATCAAGTGGCGATCGCGTGGCAGTGCCAGCAGTGCAGGCGCACAAAGTTGCAGGGGCTCTCTGTCTCTCTCGCACTCATGGGCGTCCCGTCGGGGTGAGAGAGAGACAGAGCGACGAGGGCGCCTCGGAGCGACCCAAGTGTCCATCCACGGGATGTGTCACAAAGGCGAGTCACAAAGGCGTGCCACAATGTAGCGGATTTCGGCATGGGTGATGATAAAGTGAAGCATAGTGGTGCGAGCGAGTGTCGGTCGTTGGGTCACGTCAACGCGAGGCAAGGCAAGGCAAGGCGGCGTCGAGGCGACACTTCTCACTCCCGTTGGCCAACTCCGCTGCACTTCTTCACGTTTATCGCAGCGAGCGACGGCAGTGACTCGCGGGAAAAGAAGCGGTGCATGTGTAAACCCCTTCGGAAGCCTTGTTTACTTCAAGATTTTCATTTACACTACTTTTTGATATTTTTTTTCAAGTGACAGTCTTTGGCGCTAGCGAAAGTCGGACTCGGAGGTCACTCTATATTTACCGCTCCCGTCCGTTT